CTCAAAATGGAACATGCATGTGCCCTGCCCCTCGCGCATGCGCGGCAGTGTGTCAGCTTTGGAAACCATATTCCACGCTGCCACATAGCCTGAGAACTTGGGAGAGGGGTGATTTCAATTGAGTAGTTCTAAGTAGACAAAATAAAATTCTTTTCTTAGTTCAAGGTTATTAAGTGTGGTGCAGCAGAGAAGAAGGACCTTACACTGAGGCAGATCGTGATTGGTCCATGTGATATGATGATGGGAGAAAAAGGGATGGATTGTAGTTTGGGACATGGTGGGAAGTCCAGAAAACTTTAGTTTCAAGATTTCACAGAAGTGCTAGGTGCTACTCCAATAAAGGTACTTTTGAGATTATGCTCGTCTCAGAGTTACTGATTGGAATGGAGTTTTTCTGGAATGCTGGTATTATCTCGAAACTAAAGTTGAAGACCAGCTATGTGGGAGGTGAACGTGCATGCGCAGCTAAGCTGTGGTGAGGTACACGTGTCCACAGAGAGGGCTCTGCGTGTCACCTGTGGCATGCGTGCCATAGGTTCACCACCACTGCTCTAAGGAATACAGATAATCCTTAACTTACAATTGTAACTGTGGGCTTAATTATGGTTGTAAGTCCTGCTGGTCATCACATGACCAACTTGACTTTACAATATTTTTTGTGGTGATGGTCATTAAGCAAATATCCAGAGTTATTAAATGAACACTTGTGAACTCAGTGTCTGCAATGGGCAGTTTTTACCAGTAAATAGATGTTTGTGGCAAATAATATTTTAAATGCAAGTGGTTGCTGAGCACCTAAAATGTTATCATGTGATCGCAGGAGGGGTGGCTTTAGAACTTCAAATTCGGATCATACTAATAAAGCTTGACATGGTTGGTCTCTAGGTTACCTTACAGAACAACTCCTGAAGTGGAATCTGCAGTCTATACATTCTGAAAGGATGAGTGGTTGTTTAGGGTCCCATCCTCACAAGGGATCAAAGCAGTGGTGGTATTCGACCGGTTCTGGAGAGCCGGTAGCAGCGATGAGCAGTGGAGACCGAACCAGTTCTCTTCGCTGCTCTGTGTTTGGCCCACCCACCCGCCGGGCTCACTTTTATGGCCAGAATTCAAAGCGCAGCTGCTTTGCGTGGGGCAAAATAGCGCCGTGCGGCAGCTGCTACAGCGACCAGCATCGTGCAGGCTTGCAGGAGGCAAGTTAGAATGCCTCTGCGCCTGCGCAAAGTGTGTGTTTGGCACGCGCGTGCACGCAAAGTATGCACACGCGCAAAGCATGGCCACCAAGCCACGCCCACCGAACTGATGGCAACTTTAGTTGAATACCACCACTGGATCAAAGGGACACTGACCTAAATTTAATCTTTTTCTGAAGTACCCCTCCACCCTTTGGAACAACTTCTGCTTTTTCTCCAGAGATGCAGCAAGCATTACCTTTACTGGCTTTTTAAAAATTTGTAAATCAATCCACTTAGAGGGTAGGTAATATAGACATTCTTGAAAATAAATAAATACAGTACATAAACATATACCTTTGGCTGATGTAAAAGGTTTCTCTTGGCACATCTGGGAAACATCCACAGTGGAAGCCTTCTGTTCACTTTCACTCTCTGAAGCCATTAAGTTTCTTTGCATTTCTCCTCCTGAAAGGGTTTTATTAGCAGCTGCAGTGATTCTGCTGCAAGAACTCTCAGTACATTTTAATATTTCCGTGCTTGTTTGGTGTTCTAAGAACGGTTCAATCTGTTTATCATTCTGTTTTGTTTTTGGTTCAAACAACAGTTCATCCTTAAAACATATTTTTCTTTTCCTTGAGCTTCTTCGGCATACTTTGTTTTCACTGGAATCACTATTAAGCACACACATTTTGTTCTTACATATGGCACGTTTACTGCTTTGTGCCTGTTTTTTACACGCTGATAGACTCTGTATTTTGTTTTGTCCACCAATGACATTCCTTATTTCAGAAGACTTTTTAGATTTTCTGATTTGAATCTTTCTTCGAATAGTGTCGTTTTCATCACTTTTGAAAAAACAGTCCTTAGAAATATCTCCAGTACTGGGCCCATCCTGCAAACAGATAGCAGGAATTTCTGGTTCTTTAGCATTGGATTGAAGTTCCAAGTTACTTTCTAGAAAAGATTTACAATCTCCTACACTGTTTCTTAATCTAGGGAGTGAAACTGGACTCCTAGAAATGCAACTCTCAATGTCTGTGCCTGCATTTCTGGAAGAAGATCTTTTGGTTCTTAACCGTGTATTCCTCTGAACGGCCATAGTAAAATAAAAATCCTCTGCTGTAAGAATGCTGTCTTTTCCTCTTTAAAGTAATTCAAAAGATCACGTTTAGATCTGAACTTGAGTCCTGGAGCATTGAGAGAAAAACAGCACAATCAATAAATTAAGTTCATAATTGGGGGGAAAAATTATGTATGTAAACAAAAACAATCTAAGCATCATTGCATATGCAATCTTTTCTCTTACATTGTATTTATTTTATTGCAATTTCTTTGATTGTTATGAGAGTTGGTGAGTCAGGAGGCATACAATAATCATAGTCATTATGGAAAAATAATATAACGATAAACTACCATTTTGGAAAGAAAAATCAAAACAGTAATACATAACAATTTATAAACACATTTGCCAAATAGTACAGATTCCAGGGAAGTAGCCTTGAGAACCACAACTAAAAGGTAAATTGTGCAATGTATAATTATACATTTTATAATTATATTTATAATATTACTACATAGTATTATAAGGGTCTTGAGCAAGGGCTGGTCTAGAACAGGGGTGTCAAACTCGCAACGACACCTGTCATCATCACATGACATATTGCCACTTTTTCGTTTGCTAAAATGGGGGTGGGCGTGGCCATTGTGTGATGCATCCAAAGCGAGTTTGACACCCCTAGACTAGAAGATCTTCAAGGCCCCTTCCAATTCTACTGATGATGATATACAGAGTTTATAAAATAGTCTGAACTTCACCAGATGAACACAGTATCAAGTATTAAGCACATTTTGTAAACAATCACAGGAAATGGTGTATTTGAGAATATTATATTTGTGAGTATATTATGAGCAGAGAGTGGAACATCTTAATATTCCTGAAATACCTTAAGCAGCATTAGGTTTTTTTTATATATAAAGTACATAGTTTTTGGCAAAAAGTATCGTATCATTGAGTGTTTTCCCTATACTGCAACAAGCTGTATCAAAAGTAGAAATGCAAAGACAGAGACAACAATATATTTTCCTGCAGTTCTACCAGTTTGTCTTTGCTTTATTGTATTCTCCCATTCTTCTGGAACTGTGTGACGGTAGACTGGAAAGTCTAAAGATGATGACCCTTACTACCCATTACACGTCACTGGACTTTCAGTGTTGGCTTCAGGGTCTTCTTTCCTGGGGCCAAAGCTTTCTTCTAGAACAGTTATAAGTAATTCTCTTTGCTTCTTTGATCTTTGGTTGTGTATCACTTACAGTACATATCACTGTCAATAAACAGGACCAATTTTTGTAAGCCACTCTTTTGTACAGAATCTTTTTTAACCTTATTATAATTTAAAACGTTTTTTCTGCATTTCTTTCAACCGATCCTCTTCTACCTTCCTTCCCTCCCCCCCCATTCCAAGTGAAAGCACTCACTGATGATGAACCTGCATTGTCACTTATACATAGCTTTAGTTCCAAACATTTGTCAATATTTTGATATGGGAGCCATAGAAAATTTATACAATGATATTCTGATCTAGTTTTATTATCTCAGTGTTTCCCATCCTGGATGCCTCCATGATGGGTGGACTTCAACTCCCAAAATTCCTCTACCAATGTGGCCTTTGTTGAAAGCTCTAGGAGTTGAAATTCAGATATAGAAGTTGCCAGGATGAAGAAACATTGTTCTAAGAAATTCAAGGTCTTGTTATAAGGTCTTTCCTATCATTGAACAATCCTGCTAAGGTTGGACTGAAAGCAAATTAATAGCTTAAAATTGCACCATGAACTTCATGGCCAAGCACTTTAATTTGTATTCTTTACTCCTGTACAACTAACTACCTTATTGAGTTTTGGTCAGATCCATCTAATTACAGTAATGCAATTTCTACTTTCATAAGGCAAGCAACTATACTTCTATCTTCTAGGAATTTGCATCTTCAAATACAAATTTAGAAATACGGCTCAATTCTTTGCATGTCTACCAGAAAAAAATACTTTGTTGAATGGGTCTTTTACAAAAATAATTGCTAATTTTATACTTGCTGCCGTACCAGAGCACTTTTCCCATGCTGCAGCTTCAGTTTTCTTCTTACCTTTTGGGAAATCGAGAGATACTTTGCAGAACAAACAGGCGCTGCCTGTTATCAATGCAAAACTGAGCACCGCAGACCAACAACTAATCTATTAAATAAGAGTTTTCAATCCCAAAATGATGTGAGAAAACGGAGACCACCATCCTACCATACATGGTGCGCTGGGAAACTTAACACGCATCATTGTCAAACTCAATCGACAAAACGCAAAGAGGTTTCACTTCTATTATGACATCACTGAGACCAAATCAATAGAATAAGCCGATTGCTATAGTAATATTTTCCATCTCTTCTCGGTTTCCTCTAGTGGAAAAACTCCTTACCTGATCTCATAGAGATCTTTCTCTTCCCATTCTAACACCACGACTGACCTCCCGCAGAAGGCGCCAATTCTTATTATATGCGTCTATCTTCATTGAACGCATGCGCACTTTAAACTCTTACAACCTCGTCCCGGAAAACAGAAGAGTCCTTTCCTAGGAAGGGCAAAGTAGGAAAAAAAAAAAAAACCACACACCACAGCTTCGATTGACCACGCCCCCCGATGACGCAAGCGCACTTTCGATATCGTCTCCGCCTCTTTTCGCGGCACTAACTTTCCCCACTCTTCCGCGGGATATTGGAAACAGTAATACAGTAAAATCTGAAAAGGCTCGGCGAAGAACTGAAGACATGCGCGGACGACGCTACGGGGGGCTGATTGCGCTTGCGCACGGGGCATTTCTTGGACCTTCGCAGGCGTTTAAAGAGGAGTGCGCATGCGTGTTGCCTTGGGAGGCCGGCTGGCGTCCTGCGTCAATAAATACAAACAAACAAACAAAAAAAACCTCCCCAAAAGAGTGAGAGAGTTGGGTGCCGGCGAGGGCGATGCACCTGAAGGGGACGACATGCGAGCTGCGTTGACTTGGAGGGATAAGGTCGAGCAGTGGTAAGAGACGGTCCGCTCTCCGAAACGGGGCTGGGGAGGATAACGGGGAAGAGAGCTGCATTTAGCAGGAGGAGGGACTCTTGAGAAGGACCGCTACTACCATGTGCTCTTTTCACCTCTCTATTCTGCTATGGCTTATTTTAAATAACTCCAATATAAATGCATTTATTAAATTAACATAAGTTAATGAAATAAGAGAAGGTAGGTAGGTAGGTAAGTAGGTAGATACAGGTAGGTAGGTAGGTGGATAGATATATAAAATTAAAAAAAACGGGTCTGAACTGTGGAGTCCTTGGTGCTCTCTGAGCTTAGTTGTTTGCTTAGTTGATGTTTCGTGACCCAACTAGATAACTTCATCAGTGTGTGTGAGTGTGGGGCTTGCTCCTTGTTTGTATACAGTAGCTTAAATAATAAGGTATGCCTCTCCCGTTTTTGTCTTATGTAATCCCAAATGTGTTACATAATAAATGGCTGGGAATCTCAAGATCTTTCTGAGGTAAAAATGGAACAAATACAGGTAGTCCTCGAGGTACAACAATTCATTTGGTGACTGTTCAAAGTTACAACAGCACTGAAAAAAAATGACATGGCTGTTTTTTTACAGTTACAACCTTTGAAGCATCCCCATGATCATGGGATCAAAACTGCTTGGCCACTGGTTCATACTTTTGTCTGCTGCTCTGTTTGACCATTGCTCTGTCCCAAGGTGGCGTGATCAACTTTTGCGACCTTCTGACAAACTAAATCAATGGGGAAGCCAGGTTCACTTAACAATGGGTTACTTATCAACTACAATGATTCATTTAACAACTGTAGCAAGAAAGGTTGTAAAATGTGCCAAAACTCACTTAACAAATATCTCACTTAACCACAGAAATGTTGGGCTCAACTGTGGTCATAAATCGAGGACTACCTGTATACTAATCCACAATTTTCTTAAAACAGAAGAATAATTTAGTTGTACAACACTAAAATATGTCTAATAATTTGGCCACAACAATTGTTGGTTCCACACAGTATCCTAAACTAAAACCAACTGAGCCACATTGATACATTATACAACTGTTTTGTAGACTACTGACCTATCTCATAAAAATAACTAATAAGTAGATAAAAGAACTTGCCTTTTAACAGCATTCTTTGTTTTCACAGTATCTACGACCTTGCCTTTAAGCCTGATGGAACACAACTAATAATTGCATCTGGAAACAGATTACTGGTATGAGGTTTTTAAAAATACAATATCTGGCCTAAAAGAGATTTCAATTAGAAAAATTATTTGAAGTGGTGTTAATACTTAAACAGAATATTACCAAGAAATCCCAGGATTTTAAACTTGTTTGGGAGGTGGGGATAGGGAGGTAGTTTACCTGAGAGTAGTGGAGAGACATTAGAAAATACCTTAGAAAAGGTGGATTATTTGAATGCTAAATTCAGACATCAATAAAGGAGAATATTTGAGGCTTAGAGTTGACATGAGGGATCCTTGGTGCTTCCTTGTTTTCTTTCAGATGTTTCATTATCCAAACTAGGTAACATCATTGGTGCTAGTCCACTAGCACTGATGATGTTACCAATTTTGGGTTATGAAATGTCTGTCAGAAAACAAGCTGATGGGGCACCAAAGTCTCCTCATGAATTCAGTCAGAATTCAGGCCTAGGCATGCAACGAAGATGGCATTGATTGTGCTAGTGGGTTACTTCTGAAGTGATTTGGTAAGGGAATTGTCCCTTTCTCAGTTTGCTACACTTGGAGATTGGAGTCATTGTTCTATAGTAGTAGTCCTTTTTAGCAGGTGGTTTCAGTTAGTAGTTATAGGGGAGGTGAGATCAGCCCAGTAAACATTTGGTGATGGGGTGCTACAGGGCTTCATTATCTTTCTGTTTGTTGAACATCTATATGCAGCCATTGAGACAAGTGATCAGTCAATTCAGGATGTAGTGTCCTCAACATACTGATAACTTTTCCATTGCTATCCTGGGATACCCCAGGCCATGATATGGAAATCTTGTCCTGATGTCTAAAGGCTGTTAGGAACTGAATGAGACAAAATGGACTGATGGAAAAGCCAGGCAAGATACTATTGGTTTGTTCAGGTTTCTGTTTGTTTCCAGTGTTGTATCTCAAGTGGGAGATGCTATCCCTCAAGAAGTAAATATGTAAACTGGGAAGCCTCCTGATATATGGCAACTGCTAGGTGGGTAAATGGATACCTTAATGTGCTTCACATGGGGCTGTTTTTGAAGATTTCTGGAAGCTAGAAATTGTATTTTGATTCTGTTCGCTGGCAGGTCTTAACCATCAGAGTATATTGCATTTGTGCTTAAATTTTTATATTGGTGTCCAATAGAGTTTAAATACAATTCAAAATGCTGGAAAATAAAACAGATGAATATGGAATTATGAATTGTGCAATTTTAGTGTATGATTATTCTGATTAATGACTGAATTATTGATTAATATGTTCTTTATACTCTTACTATGAGTTTTATTGTTCCAAAATGTATATCTTAGATGCCATTGTTTATAATTTTCATGGTAGATGGTTTTGGTGTGTTATGTTGTTATGGTACCTCTGCTGTCATGTTGGATCATCTGGAATTTTGCAATATAGAATTGGAGATCTAAGAGCATTTTTCTGCAGATTATCTTTGTTTATCTTAAAGTATTATTTTTATGCATCTGTACTATTATAGTTTCTGTGTTACTTTATCTGTACAGGTGTATGATACATCTGATGGAACATTAATCCAGCCCTTGAAAGCTCATAAGGATACAGTATATTGCGTAGCATATGCAAAAGATGGTAATATGAAATCCACTGTTTACATTTTGTACAATTACATTTGCCTTTTTTATGTCACTAATACGAGATCTATATAGCATCTCTTGTCAACTGAGGCAAAGAATTGATCAACTCCTGATCAAAATTCCTTAAGTATAAATTCTTTGGGATGTTCAAAACATTGCTGATAATTTCACTTCCAAGTAGTACAATATTGAATTATTTTTGTTAGCATATTTCACTAGTGTCTGCTTTTGACAGTTGGGAATTTGTGCACAAGGAACTCAGGACTTCTCAAATTTATTTTTTTAGCACATAGCCAAGATTTTTCACAGCTTAGTTGCTTACTGCTAATACAAAAGAAACAAAGTATGCATTAATATAGTTATTGTATGCTTTTCATAATCATATAAATGTTACTTTTTCAACCAGTCTCAAGATGCTGGGTATATCCAATAACAAAAATATATGATAGTTATCAACAACACATTTTAAAGTTATTTCAATGAACTGAGAAAAAGATAGATTTAATAAATCTTTTTTGAAAAATCTTTATGTCTGGTAATGTGCTAAACAGATAGCAGGTGCTTGCTAACATTAGAAGGTGCATTTGAGATCATATTATTAATACATTTCTATAAATTGTACTCCAATGAAAAAAAATCCTAATTAAAAATACAATTGTTAATTGGTCTAATTAAAAAACATTTGGTACTTTACAAAATTATGTAAATTAAACTTATATCATAAATATGTATATAAAATATGGTTACATACTGGTAATCCCATTTGTTAGCAAGATTAAGAAAATTATAGACTATGATAATATTATTACATTTCTGTGTTTTAGATTAATAGTTCATTCTAAAGCTACTTCATAATTTATATTGGCTTCTACAAATTTTCCTAGGAAAACGCTTTGCATCAGGAGCTGCAGACAAAACTGTCATAATCTGGACTTCAAAGTTAGAAGGTATCCTGAAATACACGTAAGTGATTATGACTGATGTATGTGTTTAAGAATTACTTTTAATATAAACAGAAGAAATCTTGACATGAAGAAAACAATTTTACAGGGACTGGATCTATTTGGAAAGGACACTTGTTGTAGTCTGAAACTGAGAATGATGGAGGCCATACCAGTAGCCAACATAGAACTTGGGTCAGCAATCCTGGCCTTCGCCCTGTAAAAGTTTGCACCCCTCACTTGATTGAGTAAATATCTGAAGAAGTTTAAACATTGAATATAGGATTTTTGATTCTGTGCTTCTTTGTAAAGCAATTTTTTTCAGAAGGTGATTAACTCAATAGTGCCGTGATATAGGATTCAACTGTTGAAAGGATTTTTATGTTTCCATTTCATTACTAAAACAATAAGCTCCTGAGCTTGGTTAGTGTCTACCACACAAGCTTGAGCATAGGGTTATTTTCTTTTTTGTTTGATAGCTGCCTCTCAGAGAAAAGGAATATGTTGTACTGCTTATTAATGAGTTGAACATATTTGTTATCCCTTACTATTACCCCCCACTTAGCCTGAATATCAACATTCATAATTCTCAGTCAACAAAGCCATGTTTCAGCATATCTGAAAGACATCTGAGTTGTGAATGCCTGAAACAGGTTCTCAGCATAACACCTATGAACAGAGCTGGCTAGAGACATCTTACAAGTACAGTAAAACTTCAAATTTACAAACATCTATTTAATGACTACTGGTCCAACAGACCAAATTTAGGGCAAATATCCATTACTTCAAGTAACAGACAAATCCAAACTAGTTAAATAACTAAATAAATTTAGTTAAATTTAACTAGAGGCAGTTAAATTTACATAATTTTTTATTATTTGCAGCAATTATACAACTTATGTACATTGCTGAGAAGTACATAGTTTGCAATTTAACATAAGCTTAATTGGTCTGTTAAATTGAGATTTCACTGTCTGTTCACTGATGCAGTGTACAGCAAGGGTCCCCAACCTTTTCGGTTCTGTGGACCAGTGGCTGTGGCTTCAGTGGTGTCTGCAGTGGTGGTGGGGAGAAGGTTTCATGCGTGCAACCTAATCCTGTGCAAGCTTTGCATGCTTGCCTGCCTCTTCAGCAACCCGGTTCCCAATGGTATGTGGCCCAGTAGTGGGACGCAGTCCGGGAATGAGGGATATAGAGGGTATAGAGGATCAAAATGTACAAAATATTTAAAACATTTGACAAATCCTCTATAAGCATGTGAGTAGTTTCATGCTGGATTGGATCCCTGACCCATCTAGTCCAGCAATCTGTTTTCCCAAAGGCCAACCAACTGCACAAGGAAGTCCACTGGTCTCCAGAGGCAGTTACATTGCCATCAAGGCTAATAGTCACTTAAAAGTTTAAATAGAAGCCAGATGAATCCTTCCAGTAATATACCATTTTTTCCAATGAATTAGATAAGGGATATTGTTACCCTCTTTTTTCTGCAGCCTACAACATGAATCGAAATCTAGATCTATGGCAATAAAGAAAAATAGGAAACCCTTACTGCTATTATCCAGAGGCTATCCAGACTACTACAGCCCATATTTGATAGCCTTACTTATAAAAAGCTGGCATAGCTTTTCCATATTGATTTAGCTTACCATTCTTTCAATGCCTCTCTTTCACTGTTTTTTATTAATTTTTTTTAGGCACAATGATTCTATACAATGTGTGTCTTATAATCCTGTTACACATCAACTTGCATCCTGCTCTTCAAGTGATTTTGGTATGGATTCCCCATTGCCGAATTTTTAAGTTCAAATTCTAATGCTTCATGTAGCAAAGGAATTGTAGCCATTACTGTAATATTGGTTTAGATACCCCAAGGTTGAAATGTAATATGTGAGTAAAGCTTCCCCCCACTTCCTTTCTCTTTTTTGCCCTTTACACATTAGAATCTGCTTGGATATTTCCCAAACTCCATGGCAGATTTTGAATACAAAGCTGGAAGCTATCCTGCTTGTTTTTTGACACGAATCATTCATTAGTGTGAAGGGCAGATTGTATAAAATTCCAAGATGCTATAATATTTTGTTAGAAATGTGGGAGCTTGGTTTCCAGCATGTCAAACTACCTGTCCATCTGGTCCAGTTTTGTTGTTTAGCATCAGCTTTTAGGTTCTCACTTAACTGGTAATGCCAGAGGTTGAACCTAAATTTCATGCACTTGAGGCATTACCATTGAGCTACAGTACAGTCCTCCCAGATCATTGTAGTCCTTTCTTTATAGATGATGGGTAATGACATGAAATTCTACGCAGCACAGAAATGGGTACTGATATTGGAGAGGATAGTCAGACTGAAATAAATCTTATTAGGATGAATAACATATATGATGAACATTAATGTCATTATTTTAGCAGTTATTGCATAACTGCTTTTGAATGCTCTTATAATTATAACCATTTTTTTTTAATTTCCGTATTTTGATTTTGTTGTTTTTAAGGACTGTGGTCTCCTGAACAGAAATCAGTCAACAAACATAAAGTTAGCAATAAGATCACTTGTTGTAGGTATGTAACGCTTTGGCTCAAAGATTATAATTTGGGCTTTCAAATGATACAAAGTTATGTTTATGAGTTGCTGCTCCACACAAAACATGATGCAGCTAAAGTAGGAATGGGGCATTGCTTTTGGTCTTGCAGCCGAAAGCAGCCCTTCCTGACTCAATTGGCCAGGTGGTATCAGTGGCAGGGTGGCCTTTCTCCCTCAGCAAACTCTCCACTCCCCAAATATCCTCCATTTCATAATGTTGGTTCCCTCTAGCTCTAAGAAACATTTAGCCTACTGTATTGTTTTTCTTTTTTTTAGTTGGACAAATGATGGACAGTATCTCGCTTTGGGGTTGTACAATGGTATTGTCAGCATTAGGAATAAAAATGGTGAAGAGAAAGTCAAAATTGAACGACCAGGAGGATCTTTATCTCCAGTTTGGTCTATTTCTTGGAATCCATCAAGGTAACATGTTTGGGTCTTGAGTGATAATATAAAGATTCATACATTCAGTGTGTTCTTAGTAGTGTTAATAAGTATCATGGCAAACTAGCCTGTAGATTTCAGGAGTCAGCATATTACTACAGATCTGTCATTAATTTTGGGAATAAATCCTGAAGTTTTTTTTTAATGTAAGAAACAAGATATTTCCATATTACATGTGGCCGTAGGCCATATTTTCTTTTACTCGGTTTGCTTAACATACAAAGTTTCTGTTCCTAAGAGCTGAGTGGTTAAGTTGCTTGTGTTTGCTCCAGATTTCACTCTGGAATTTTCTCATTTTGCTTAATAAAAATAGAGAAATGTAGAGGGCATCACAATAAATAATATTCATTAATTATTAATTTCTACTTTTTCATCATTTATGTGCTGTATGAATGTCTTCCAAAAGTGTTTATAATTAACTACAAACTCCTTATCACTGTATAATAAAACCATTAAAAACAAGCATAAAAAAATTGTGGGGTCCTTGATAAAAGAATTTGACTGCAAGGATTGGTTTTACATAAACATGAGAAATTTTTGCAGAGAAAGCTGTATCCTGTTTTTCCATTCCTCATACCCCAAGGAGGCTATGATAAATATTTAAGGAGCTAGATCTGTTTTGCATAGTATATGGTAGCAAATTCATCTAATTATATAGTGTTTCTGTAGATACATGCTAACAATGTCTAAAAACATTTAAATGAATATCTGATTGAGCTTCTTAAAAAGAATATTTTTAAGAACAAACCTTCACCTTCATCCTACACCCGAACTACAGATATTTGGTACTATTGCAAAGAATATTTTTAGAGACAAGCTTCTTAAGACTCTTAAGAGGCTAAGAGGTAGGATGTTTATTTGAACTTTCCTCCCATTCTTTTCACTGCGTCCTATGCCAAAGTACTTATTTTGTTCATTGATTTCAGTGGCCTAATACATGGGACTCTATGGGAAAACTTTGTGAGAAAGTATTGTAGTGATAATGTTGGCATTCTATGTTAATTGATTAGTTTTACTGTTGTGACTGAGAAGTATTGAGCCACCCAATCATTTCAAATGATGTATGTGTATGGGTCCAGATCAGCTATTTCTATTACCTTTCTCCCTAAAGTCTCTGTTTTAAAGTGCTGTATTTTCTACAGCCTGATTAATTTTTTTTAAATCGGAAACAATACATTCTGTATATTCTAGAACATTTAAGGGAGACTGCAAGTCTTGTCTGACCTTTGAACTAACATATTTTGAAAGTTGAATTGTGTGTCAGTAGTTCATGTGAACAAACAATTGGTATTTGCAGTCGCTGGGAGAATCTCTGGAGTGCTAGAGACAGCGAAGAAGATGACGAGGCAGGTCACACCTGTTTAGAGGATATACCAGTTCTGAAGTCCATCACATGCAGTAGTCAGGGTAGTGAGGCAGAGGAAGAAGAACGTGAGGAAGATGAGAGTCCTAGGAATGCCAGCTCGTGAGTGAAATATCAAGGAAATAAAGCTATACCATTTTAGGATCAATATAGATATGTATGGAATCCTACTGATTCACATTTCATCACCACAAGTAATCTATATCATCATGTAAAAGCGGTATAATGAGTTTCACAAAATTTTCCATACTGATTTTTGCCAAAATGTCTTCCTTCTCGAATTTGGCCTGGTATACTAAAAGTTGAGCTTATCACAAACTCCTGTATGAGGCAGATGTTTTCCCATATTCAAGAAATTTGATACCACAAACTCTCAGAGCTGAAGGAAATTGGAAAAATATTCACAGTGTATCATTAATTCCTTCCAGGGAACTGCGATCTACCACCTTGTGTTGCTTTAAAAGCTCACTGAAGTATCCCAAAGCAGTTCAGTGGGAAAAGTCATGTAGGTTAAATCCAACTTTTAACTATTAATAGGAAGGAAGATGCTGCCTTCTCTTAAAATGCTGGAATAATATATGTGCTAAAACATTATTATAGCTCAGTCGTAACACCCACGGTTTCTCATATAGGATAGGGAATACTTATTTGGAAATTCTGAAAATCTATTGCTATTATAAAAGGTAAAGGTTCCCCTCACACATACGTGCTAGTTGTTTCCGGCTACTCATCTCCATTACAAAGCCGAAGAGCCAGCACTGTCCGAAAATGTCTCCGTGGTCATGTGGCCGGCATGACTAAACGCCGAAGGCGCACAGAATGCTGTTACCTTCCCACCAAAATGGTCCCTATTTTTCTACTTGCATTTTTGCATGCTTTCGAACTAGGTTGGCAGAAGCTGGGACAAGTAACAGGAGCTCACTCTGTTACACGGTGCTAGGGATTCGAACCACTGCCGACCTTTCTGATTGACAAGCTCAGTGTCTTAGGCACGGAGCCACCACATCCCTATAGCTATTATAGACAATGCTAAATTAGATTTCACCAAATATTTGAGATAGTTACCAGCAGGTCAAGTTATCAGGACCAGCATCTAAGAAATAACGAAAACAAAATCTGTCCCAGAAAATGTTTTGTTATTACTCTCTGAGGGAACACGATATATTACTTTAGCACATACAAATATTTGATGCAGTTATGAAACGTAAAAGAAAAATTCAAAAAAGTTACATGAATATTCATCCCTGACAAATTGTTCAGTTAATCTTATAGATATGTTTATTCATATACAGTACATTTAAATCAGTTTACTTAATATAAAAAGAGGGGGGAGGGAAATGAAAATTTACAGCCACACGTCCATACATTTAAATGCAGACCAAATTTCTAAACAGGCCTCCAATCCTGATATGAAAAGAGTAATGCATTCTTCAGGGTGTTGTGTCTGACAGGATGAATGTCCTTCCATTTTTATAATATTAATCTCTTCCCAATCATAAGAGCATGCAATGCATGTTTTTTTGACATCTTGTTAGTTTCCACACTGTTGGGTTTACAGCTGAAAAAAGCATTATAACTTACAAAAACATTGAGTCTTCAACGAAAAAGATATAATTTCTGTATGTGGCATAAAAATTAAACTGTAAGAGGCAATACTACCGTGTTTCTCATATAATAAGGCTGGGTCTTATTTTTTTTTGAGCCCCGAAAAAATGGCTAGGCTGTCTTTTCGGGGGTGACTTAATTCCCCCCCCCTTGCATCTTTGGGTGGACGGCTTGGATGTTGACCTCAGCGTTGGTGGGGCACTTCGTATCGGGGTCAACGCAGGCAGCACCATATCCGGGTATGCAACAAAAGTACTTCCTAATGGCAAGCCCCCCCACCATTCCCCCCCATTTCGCATGTTTTAATATAGGCCTTAATTTGGGGGGAGGGGCTTATTTTCATTTCATGCCTATAAAACATGCTGGGACTTCCTATTGGGGGAGGCCGTATTGTTGGAGAAACAGGGTATATATTGAACAATCTAGCTATTGGCTAAATTTCTCTCAACTTTTCCCCAAAGCATGCATCCAATATGCATGAAATAATAATTTTGGTTCTGTTAGTTGACTCAAGAATTAGTTTTCCATTGGCAAGGTTATGTCAAGAGTATAGGGAAGATTAATAGTGGACATTTTTATAGTATTAATCTTCCCTGTACTCTTATAAGGAAGTATAAGAATTGCTGGCCCGTATCTAGATTTCAGAAGATCTTTTAACTAATGATATTGCCATTGAAAAACAATATCTGCTTGTTGCACTGTTGCTACATAATTGCTTTTCTCTTATATCCAATAGAGATGAGCATAATGATATTTTAGCTGTGGCAGATTGGGGACAAAGGCTTTCTTTTTATCAACTAAGTGGCAAGCAAGTAAGTTACTACTTAACTGGAAAGTGTGTTTGTTTGTGTGTGTGTGTGTTTGTTCCCAAATACTGTTTCTTTTTCTGCATTTTTTAAAGCTAGTAGTGTATTCTACAAAATCAGAGGCCAATTTGTTTGCCTTTTTGTAGAAAAGTATGCGTATGTTTGTCTCTATATGTACATATATATCTACATATGTAAATTAAATCTGTATGCTGCCCATTTCTCAATGGTTGGGTAGCTCACAATCATGAAAGAAATTACAGTAAAATCAGTAAAAGAAAAAAGAAAAAGAGAAAAGATGGCAAGCACAGCAGACCAGATGGAATTAACTGTGGGGTCTGTACCAGTATTACAGTCTATTTGTGAGCCAAAAACTGTTAAACAGAATTATTCTGGCTGAGTTTCCTCCTCATCCTTGAATAACAGAAATGGGCTAATATGCACATATCATATATTGTTGGAGCTAACACTAACCATATTATTTCATTTTAAGGCAGTTTTTGAAAATGAAGAGATTGTATCAGCCTCAAATGAAGATCTGTGACAAATGAAATACAAAAACATGTGTAATTACATTCCTGTCTGCAGATTAGATTTCTTATTGCAAAATCAAATGCTAAACATATTTATCCATATTCTTATAGATTGGAAAAGACAGAGTCCTGAACTTTGATCCATGTTGTGTCAGCTATTTTTCAAAAGGAGAATACATCTTAATGGGAGGCTCTGACAAGCAAGTGTCCCTTTATACGAAGGATGGAGTGCGTCTTGGCACCATAGGTGAACAGAGCACTTGGGTGTGGACTTGTAAAGCTAAGCCCGATTCCAATTATGTGGTAAGGGTGAATTTCTAAAAGCCTTTCCAATATGTATACCAGGTGTTTTCAGACACTTTTTCTCTCACAAGTAACTATTTCTGGCTTCCATCTTTTCCATATGGCAAATGTATCTAAATCTGCTGTTGTTTTGCTAGGAAATTACTTTTTTACAGACTTTATAATTGTGTCTCTGCCAGGTTACATTCTGTGCATCACAGAGGTAATTTTATGCCTATAGGTGGAACTTACAGTTATATTGTTAGGAATAATATTACTTGTACTACTACTACTACTGCTAATAATAATAATAGGCACTGACAAATTTGCCACCAATCAATTGCAAAAGGCAGTTTATTTGGAACAGCTTCTATCCTGCGACGATATCTGTAACATTGTCAAACATCCAGATTTGCCTATCCCTGGTCCATGGTAAGGACTCGATAGGTAAACAAAAATGCAAACCCAGTCTGTACAGGCTGACTGTGTAATTAGTAATAGTAGTAGTAGTAGTAATAAATAATAATAATAATAATAATAATAATAATAATAATAATAATAATAATAATAATAATAATAATAATAATAAACAAGTTGATGAATGACCTGGAGTTGAATTATGGTTTAAATCTCTTTGTTTCATTATTTGTCAGTGAATGAAACAATATTTGTCAGCACATTAGTTCCCTGTTCTTCCTTCATTTGTTCTTATTTCTTTTTCTTCTTTTTCTCTCATTTACTGTTACTTGTTCACATGCCTTTTCTCATTTTGATTTCCCCATATCTCCTTGCGATATGCATATTGTAATATCTGTTATTGAGTCATGTAAACTAAAGCACCTTTGTATTGAGATAATCAAAATTTGCTTCATCAAATCATTACAAATTGTATTACACATGAATTATAATTTCACAGGGCTGATTGTGCATAGTTAATAACAAAGCACATTTTTTCAAGCATAGCTGGCACTCATAGTCTGAAGTATTTGCTAAGAAAAACCACTGACTTCTGGAGGGAGCCATTTTTTAATTAATATCAATTCAAAGCTTATTTCTCAAGTGCATAAGAATAAATATATAAATAATATCTTAAACTCTTAAACTCTTTTTGTTACTGTATATTTAAAAATATTCTTCTAGTTACTATTGTGACCTTTTAATAAAAGCCAAGTAATCTTATTGTTGTCATCTGTTAAAAACAATTGTAAACAATGAAATGATATCTAGAATAAGTGTAAATAACTATTTCCTACCATGACATTTGTGAATTTTGATTTATATGGTTGTACTGTGGGAGAAGAGTCAGGTCAAAATCTTATTCATGTGAAGGAAAAATCTCCCTCGATATACATTTTCTAAGTGTAGAAAATTCCAGCAACACTTTTTAAATATTAAAATACCTTTTTAATCTACATTTCTAGTTCATGATCATTCAGATAGACACCTGAATTTGGTTAATTCTTTTCTCTTCAGGCGGTAGGAACCCAGGATGGAACCATTTCACTGTATCAGTTGATTTTCAGCACAGTTCATGGCCTTTATAAGGATCGCTATGCTTACAGAGACAGCATGACAGATGTTATTGTCCAACATCTTATCACTGAACAAAAAGGTAGTATTGAATTATGTTTTCAGATAACCCAGGGGCCATAGCTTCCCTGCTCCAGTACATAATATTTGTCCACAAATTGAACTTGCCAATACATCTTTACAGTGGAAAGATGGCTGTGCCTTTTTGCCAAAAACACTCATAGTGTCTTTAGAAGTGCTGTGTGTAGAATTTTTGGTATGGGGATGTTGTGATGACAACATGTTTAATGGCCTTTTGTCAGCAGTCAAAAGATATTGATGTAGCTGATATTTTGACTTTTTGTTGTTGTCCTTGGTGATTATTCATTAATTGTTTTATTATGTTAATTGTATAAATACAAATGGTTATGTAAATTTCTATGAACAGCATGAGAGGTGTAGCCATATGAATAGGATTTAGTCTTATGTTTTTTCATTTGATTTATATCCTGCCAGAAATTGCAGTATATATGGTACTCTTTCCTGCCATTTTATCCCCCTATTTATTGTAAGATAGTTTGGGATGAGAGAGGGAGAGATTTTTGCTTAACAACTGCAGCATTTAATTAATGACTGCATAAAATATCTGTAGAATTATTTCCAGTCATGTGGGTGCCTTGACTTACAACTGCAACAACTTATTACTATAATTCTGGGCTCAGTTATGGTCATACGGTGAAGATTACATGCAGTCCTCAGAATCCAATTGAGCTAATAGAGATTAATTAAATATTGGGATGATTGTGGAACTCCTGCTGTTTTACATGTTTGGAAGTGCTGTTTTGGTCCAGGTAATTAAATGATTTTTAATGTGTTTTTAAACTATGTATTAGACTTAATGTATGTTATCCAAAGTCTTCTTGGAGTTCAGTGGCCTTAATAAATCGAATAAATAAATGGATATTTGGAATAAAATAGCCACCTATCTCATGTAATGACTCTAGGTGGTTTGCAATAATACAAAAGAAACATAGTTTAACTTAAACTTGTTTTTCCACAGTTAGAATAAAAAACCGAGAGCTTGTAAAAAAAATAGCAATCTACAAGAACAGATTAGCAATCCAATTACCTGAGAAAATCCAGATTTTTGAACTGTATTCCGATGATTCATCAGACATGCACTACCGAGTGAAGGAAAAGATAGCAAAAAAATTTGAATGTAACTTACTAGTTGTCTGTTCTGAACACATTATCTTATGCCAGGTAGGTAACTAATCATTACATTTAAAAATAAAATAATGTCTAAAAATGATATTACATTTTCTAGTACTACACTAAGAAAGATTAAGAAAAAGGTTCCCTGTTGAAGGCGTTTCATATAACAAGGGTGGGCCAACAGAGATAACTGCTACATCAGATGCATATTCATTTTTGACCTGTTTCCGAATTCATGTCAGGAATTAAAACTATTAGAGTAAGTATTAGAGCAGAATTTTCTCCAATTCTGCAGATAGCATGGTTCTGTTTGTGAATTCTGGGCACTGAACTGTATGTCACCTAGGTTGGGGAGAGCTATTTTAGAGGTTTGCACCATTTTCTCCATGGGTGATGGATTTCTCAAGTTCTTATAACATATAACATACTCACTTTCATTTGATAATTGGAATAAATTGCTTCCAATAAATCACCTATCCTTTTTTGGCATAGCATTAAGTGGTTGGCATTTGAGAAAGAAGTGACTGAAACTCTGAAATGTTGAGTAAAATATTCTAGAAAGTATAATAAAAAATAATTGATAGCATTTTTATTTAGATTTCTTAGTAGTTGACAACTTTTCTGAGCAACTACATTTCATTAATTCACCCTTGGCTATTAACCTGTAAAGAGTGGTTATAAACAATAGATATGAACATTGGTAAGAAATTAGACTTGTTTGGTATTATAAAATACTTCCCCCTTGTTTATGTCTATGCATGGAAACATAATAAAAAAAAAGTTCTGGTAAATATACATGATTGTCAAGCTAAGATATATGAAAACTTTCTAGCAGAATATATATATATATATATTCCCCCCCCCCTTTTTCTTTTTAGGAAAAGAGACTCCAGTGTCTGTCTTTCAGTGGTACAAAAGAACGGGAATGGGTGATGGAATCTCTCATTCGATATATAAAAGTAATTGGAGGACCTCCAGGCAGAGAAGGCCTTTTAGTGGGTTTAAAGAATGGTCAGGTGAGGTTTTCTGATAAAGCACAAGGTTTTTTTTTTTTTTTTGGTAGTGATTCAGATGCTGTTAGATTATAGGAAATAACAGAATTTTAAAGAAAATTATACATAATCAAAGACATTTTGTAGACATTTTCCTTCATGAAAAATAGGGTTGATAGTTGTTATTCTATACATATACACGTATCCATCACATTATTCTCTTTTGCAGTAAGCAACATTATGCACACCATAGAAAATTAATAAAAACATAGTAAGCCAAAGAAATTCAAGACAGCAGGTAAGAAAAAAGAAAAAGAAATAGCGATAAATCACTTCCAAACTATTCTTTTATGTATATATACTGCTTTAGAGTTGCATGTACATTCATGTTCATTCATTCATTTTTATATACCTTTTACTTCTATCATGTGCCATTCTTATAACATTCATCAACCAACCTTCATATTTGTGCAAAAGAATTTGAGCTTTCTATTCATTTTACCATATGCTTCTCTAAAGTCACAAATATTCAGTATTTTTTTTTCATAGTCATATATTTCTCATTGACCTACTGAAAAGCAGAAAGACAGTCTGTGCATCATATGCCTGGCGTAAGGCCTCATTTCACTTCTGATTTTTTTCTAATTGTAACCTCTTGTACCCTTTTAGTGATAATTCTTGAAATTGCTCACCTTGGCACATGTAACGAATTCAGTCTGCTTCAGTGTTTACAGTCATTATTGCTAGTTTTCTTTTACATAATAGAACAAAAACAACATTCTTCCCATCGTCAGGCATGGATGCAGGCTTTATATGCACTTTAAACAAATTGTGCAGCTATTCCATAAACAAACAACAGCTACATTTTAATATTTCTCAAATGACACCCTCTACATTTGCAGAATTAATTTTTTTCACCTTTTTCACCTTCTCATAGAATTTATAGTTATTTCATTGTTATTTTTTAGACACAAAAACTTGTAGCATTTACATAGCATTATTATAATTCCCATATAGCTCCCTGAAATATTCATTCTGATATTCCTTTCCTTCACGCCAAATAATTGCCTCACCCTTATTTTTATTCATTCACTGTGCTGAATGTTATTTGTTTAGCCTGTACTACCCATTTTCAAAACTTTTTTTAAAATTTCCATCAAAATTGTTCTGCATTTTCTTTGCCTCTTTTAATGTTAACTATTCTTTGCTCTCTTAAAGTGCCCTTAAATCACCAGTCAGCCCTTGGTTGCATCACACTGTTAGACCCCTTTGCTAACAGGCAGAGCCAAGTCTTAATATTCTTCCAGAAAACTAGAAAAGTAAGAGCTGGCCTCAATTCTGTGGTTTTACATTATGTATACCCACAAATACACATCATTTACTCATTCTATTCTTTAACATATTTTTCCTCATTCATAACCTTTTTCACCCCTTTGTTCTTCTAAGCTTAGTGTAATTCCACTTACTACACTCACATTCTGTATTATTTTAAATTCTATTCCAAGGAGCTTCCACTTTCTCTTTCCCTATATATGTTTTTCCATTCAGTTTTGGAGGAGATTAATACTTTTTCATACAGAACTTAAGCATTCTGTTTTTGCAGCGCACAAGAAGTTCTGCAGAGGTCAAGAAGAATTTGTGACAGGTGATGTGCAGGTTGGGAAAGATGTGTGAGAAGCACTACAAGGATTGGGAAGGGTGCAGCAAAGGTCAGGGAGGTTGTACAAAGGTGTGAGTGGACAGCATGGCACAAGCACAGAGGAGATATGGAGGTTGTGTAAATAGGGGAGACTTACCTGAGCAACTTGCAATATTCCCTCTCAGCTTATTCATTGCCTTGTGGGAAACTGTCAGGGAACATTGGAAATGACATCACATGACCACAGCTGACCATGGAAGTGCTAAGTGGCTACAACTTTCCCAATCTTCATTTCCATGGGAATCATGGGTCCCAGATTTTGGATACATTCTCTAACTTAGCCCATTTGAGGTATGTTGATTCAAAAATTGTTGGCCTATGAGCACCACTTTGCCCAGTTGATGGTTATAAAAAGACATAAGAATTTTAGTAGTATATAGATTTTCTAGGAAGGGTAGATTAGGTTTCTATCTTTAGTCATGCCTGTGCCACATTCAGCATATTTTCCAATAGCAAAAGCAATGCTGATTGATTTTGGTACACAGCCAAAATCCAGACCTAAAGATGACAACACAAAGCAACATAACTTATGCTACATCCTCTTAACCTGGGATAGATACTGAATACACATTTGGTATGTGCCATTATATAAACTGGAAAATTCGTAGAGTAGTGGAAACAACTTGGAACCAGTGGGATTAGTGGGTCACTTATCAGTAACTGAGTTTAAACCTGCTTGGGGTAAAAACACATGTCCATCATCTGACCAAAACAAAAAAATAAAATCAAAAATAAATTAAACATTATTAAAAATAATAAATACATTTAAAAGAAAACAAAAACTCAAAAGGGCAGATCATTAGGTTTTATTTTGCCATCGGTTTTCTATGTTTCTGATGAACAAGGTGAAGCATCTAGGATTATTTATGAATTTAACAAAATCAGAAGAACAGTATATTTTATGGGCTTTATAGGACTTAGGTTTTTAAATTCTGGTTTATTATATTTGAAAAAGACCATAGAGTTAAATGTTGCTCCTGTTTTTTTATAGAATAAGCTCTACAATTGTCCTCTCAGTCAACCGTTATTTGTCCCCATGTCTTTTATATATAATCATACATAAAAAGGCAGAAGCAATCAATTTGTCTAATTTGTCTGAATGATTATTCCCAGGGGTCTGGATTCCATAAAATCATTTCATCTGACTAGCATCTGAGAACTTCAGTTTTCCAATATGGGCTTTATTAACTCTCACAATGTAATTATATCCAGATTCTCAAGATCTTTGTGGACAATCCATTTGCAATTGTTTTGCTAAAACAATCTACAGCCGTGCGTTGCCTGGATATGAGTGCGTCTCGAAACAAACTGGCAGTAGTTGATGAAAATGATACCTGTCTGGTCTATGATATTAACACCAAAGAATTACTGTTTCAGGTAAATGTTTTTATATATACATAAGTCACCTTGAATTTCAAAGAATTTTTTCCCCCTAAAACAGTGAGAAAGGAGCAATTTTGGCTCTTGTTCCTTTTTTGCTTGCTAAAACATTTTTACCTGCCAGTGAGTTTCACACACCATTGACGATATCTGATTTTGGATATCTTCCCCCAGTCGGCCAAATGCGCTAGGAGTAGGGCTATTGATTGATAGTTTGACAGTTACCTCTGCTAATTTATGTATTCACACCAAAATATATTGCACCAATTGATTATGTCCACAGGAGGCAAAAACTTTTCAAACATGAGATTTTACACTAGCAGCAGGCAAAGAAGGAAGAAGAGCTCAAGTATTTTTCAACAGTAGTTTCACTCTGAATGGGATTAGTATCTATTTATAAATCAAACTTTTCTGGAAAACAAGAATTTGACTATTTAAGGATGTAAATCTGAACCAAATTCCAATATTGAGAAACCAAAAACTGGAAAATTAATATTTGTGTGGGGGAAAGTAAAGCAAAAAAGACACATTCTGGTGAGAGAGAAGTTTGCCGAGGATGGGTTACAGCATGAGTGTGAAAGTTCAAAAGGCTAAACTTCTGGTCCCGGTAACTGACCAAGATTGGATACTTCAAAAAAGTAAATGTTTAAAAGAAGCACTAACTGTCTAAGAGATGCTGCATAAGTTGAACAGTGGGAGAAAAATGGAAACTCATACATCCAGATCATCTGTGTGTATAGTTGATTATTATGACTAGGATTTTAAATACTTATTTTAACACATTTTCCAATTTGTTGTAGGGAATATACCATTGTAGTTTACCTTCGTTGTCATGCAGATAAAGCTGGAATTATGGGTTGCTTTTGTGGAGCTGAGTACCACAGGTTCTTTGGCTATCAATCTGTCTCTTTTAGCAGGACAGAATTTGTCCTGTCTCATTTGCTTCTTTGAATATCAGTTACTTGATTGAAATAACTTTTCTTGCCTTGATATCTTGCTACTAAGTCTCACTTTTTAAAATAGCCTTCTCTTCCCAATGAAAAATGTTGTTTCTGCCTTTTCTGCCTTTTTTTTTTTAAATCACCTTCTCCTACTTCTTTCACTAGGCTTAGTAATGGTTTCAGAGAAGCAGCTTAATTAGCTGAAAGAAAGCTAACTTGGTTGTATACTACAGCAGAGTATCAGGGATAGCCACCCCCCAAATAAGATCTTACATAGCAGCAACTAAAAGTTCCAGCAGTAATGTGCCCATTACTATTGATCAACATCAGATGTTTTGTCTATGCTTCAGTGGCAATTCTCTTAACCCAAATTAGCATCAATAAATGGGGACTTTTATGCCATTTATTTGTACAGGCAGGTGCTGCTGCTAAGAATAACCTCAAATGTGCAGCAGTTGTTAGGTCGACCTTCTGGGAACATTCAGGATGACCATTTGAATGGGAATGCAAAACAGGGCTGCTTAAATCTAGCAGTTTTTGCACAGGCGTTTTTCTTTTGTATTAAATACCATTTGCAGGCTAGGTGATTCTTTGTGATGCAATCTATGGCCCGAAGGTGGTGCTATTTAGCAGGAAATAATGGGCACAATTTAAGGTCTACTAAAGAAAACTGTCTTTTCACATTCTACTTATTACTGTTCTCCCAAGGCTTCCTTCTAGGCTTCAGATGATTAAATAGGCAGCTTTCATTGAATTAGCCAATCCATTGTTAGAGCAGAACAAAGCAAACACTACCATAATAGACCGAAGTTGCCTTTCAAAGAAGTTAAAATAAGAGGTCATTGGTTCTTAGGGAAAATATAGGGCAATTTCTGTCAATTCTTTGGATGAATCTGTCACTTCAACTAGCAGCATATGCAAAAGAAAGAAAGAAAAATCTCAAGGAGATGAGACTAACATTGGTTTTTGAATTCAGGCTCTCAGACACTTTCCAAGAATGCATGTCCTCAGAAAACCTCTCACATGGAGTTGTGATTCAAATAAAACTAAAAGCAGACATTGGGGAGACTCTTTTTCTTTGTTTATAACTAAGTGACAAACTTGCAAAGTCTAAATACCTGCAGGAAATAGGGTCATAAAACTGAGAGCCAGATTCCTACAATCCCATCCTCCAGATTCTGGGCAAAAGAAAACCTCAGCAAATAACCCATCTTTTAGAAATTAGTTGTAAAACCAGTTTCTTCCTGTTAATTTTGTTTCTGTCAGGCTGAAGAAAGAGATTACATCTTAAAGGTGAACCATTGTTGAATGGAAACTTTCCTCTCAGAGGTCTGTTGTATCTAGAGTGGGTCCTTAGAAGAGTTAACTGATATATGGTTACTAATGAATCTGATATAACACCATCCCAGATCTTCTTTATGGCTTCCTTTACGCTCTACAGTTCTAAGGAACATCAAAAGGTCCTTAGACATTCTCGTTGCTGTTGCTGAGACTCTGGTTTTTGGCGATCCTGCATGCAGTGCAAGCATTTCTCTGTTGGATGGGTTAATTATCCAGACCCACAATGACTGTCTAGTTATCAGACATCTAAACGAAATCATATATCAGGGTGAAGTAAAGATAATGACATTATTCCTTTCTTCAAAAACAATCCATGCCAAAGATGTACAAAACATATTTCCAAGGGTGCTTTTTCAAGAGGCAACTGGACTTTCTGAAGAAGCTTTCTAAACAAGTTTTCTGAAGAAGCTCAGAAAAAGAAGCTTCTTGGATGAGAAGCGAAACATCTTAAAGAAAAACCCAAAAGTCAGATTGCCTCTTGAAAAAGCACTTTTGGGACAACCATGAGCTGGATGACTGAGAAGCTCCATAGACATGAAGATTAGCACTATTAAAAACCCTGAAATATTTTAGGCTCTGTTGCATATGCTAATCATATTTGCTAAGCCTGATTCTCTAGATATATTGGTGTAGCAAATTGGGGAAGGTTGCTTTAGATTAATGCTGTCTGTTTCTTTAAAAATGTTTATTGCTTAATTAATATTTTGTTTAATGGTCTCATTAGGAACCCAATGCTAACAGTGTGGCTTGGAACACACAGTGTGAGGACATGCTTTGTTTCTCTGGAGGGGGATATCTCAATATCAAAGCTAGTAATTTTCCTGTCCATCAACAAAAACTTCAGGGATTTGTAGTGGGATATAATGGCTCCAAAATTTTTTGTCTTCATGTTTTTTCTATGACTGCTGTTGAAGTTCCCCAGGTAATGTTACCTCATTCATTTCATTTTTGCACTGTTAACATGAACATTATTTTGTCTAATATTCCTAAAACATTTCTAAGTTAGATATTTTCCTGAATTAATGTTTACTAATTTATCCTCCCCCCCCCCCCGCCACACCAATATGACTTATGCCTATAGTAATATGTTTGGGGAAGAAAGTAGAATGTGATGTGTTCAATTTTCCTGCCATAGTTAAAAAAAACATTATACGAGACTACCAATTAGGCAAAACCTTTTTATTATATTCCTTATCTGATAATCCAGTGTTGTTCTTTCTATTTACCACTTTTTTCCTCTATTTTATGTTTTAAAAATTAAGCCCTGGAAAATTAAATTATTTTGCATATTTTATGTCCATGAACAACCAACAAGAAGTAGCAGAAGATATTTCAAATGTAGCTGCTTTGAACATACAAGGATGTTATTCTTAGACCAAATAGAATTTGGATTTTACTTATTGTCTACTTGTGTTTTATTTAAAAAGAAGAGAAACCGAAGAGATATTTGCAAGGTTTAAGAAAGATTTTGATTGAATCTGGCTTAAAATGGTTTGGCTTAAAAATAGTCCAGTTAAGAACAAGATACTGCTTTGCAAAAATTACCGATGACTCAGAAGTAAAGGTTTTGAAACATTTTAAAGTGAACGAAGATACCTGCTGTGAGACTGCAAAGCATTTTGTATTCAAAGGCAGACAGGTGCTATGGAACCTACAGGCCATGTACCTAACATTAATCTGCAATTTTATAAAAGAAATGCACCTTTTCCTGGAATTGCTTTGTAGTCCTAAAGAGCAGCACAATTCTGGAAAAAGACACAGCTGCTTTAAGGGGTCACAGACAAACACTATGTATTCCAAAAATCCTCTTTAAATTCCAAAAGCTGCATGCATCTCTTGGGTAATATTTATTACTGTCATTTCTTAACAGAATATTTTTCTCCTTTCTGCAGAACCCCATAAGCCGTTTGAAAAAGTTGGGAAAGCTTTCATAAGGGTTTTGATAGGGAGGTGGAAATATGAGAGTATGATGCCTCCTGTTGTATAAATAGAATTCGGTTCACTGATTTTTGGATGTAACTTAATCTTGATAAATTCGATAAAATTCAGCAACCCTGAATAATTTGTAGACAAGGAGAAGCATGTACAGGGGTGCTTAAAAGTTTGTAACCCCTTTCGTATTTTCAATATTTCTGCATAAATATGACGTAAAAGATAATCTGTTTTCTACAGATCTTAAAACATAAAGAAAACCAATTTACAAAATGAGTCAAAATATTATACAGTATTTGTTCATTTATTTATTGAAGAAAATGATCCAAAATACTAGATGCTTGTTAAGTTTTTCAAATCATAGATAAAAGCGTCACACAGAGGATAGTAAAATTCAGTAAAGATGAAATAAGAGAAGGCAGGAAGCAAGAAAAAAAAAGGTGACTGAAATGGACTGCATTTATATCTTCCCATTCTATCAATTTTCTCTCTCTTTTTGCCATCCTATACCATAAACACCAGGAACAGATTCTGGGCATGTGGAGGAGGAACAAAGATTTCATTCCATTAACAGATGCCATTTTATCACTGGAACATATACTTAGTCTTTATTAGATTAGATAATAGTCAGACTTTATAAAATTAATTCCCTGTTATTGCCTAAATAATAGACTTGATACAGCACAAGAATGATAGGGTGTTTGATAAGAGCAGTAAGGCAGTAAGTGCAAAAAATATGGATATAATTATGGGTTGGTACCATCATGACCGTAAGGGAAGAGAAGATTAAAATGGATAATTATGTGGGAATCATTTTTAAACATTAAAAGGCTGCCGTAAATGAGGGTAGAGTAATTACATTCTGTTGCTTGTATGAAGGAGAAAACAAACTGCCATCTGTAAGAACAGTTTGGCAAAAGAACAAAATCGCCAAGGGATAACATTGTGGAATATATTCAGGTTTTTTTTTCCTACAAAACTCAGTTTGTAAAAAAACAGCTATCAGAAATATGTTTTTAGTGACAATTACTACCAGAAAAAAATATCTTGATCCAATGAGGTACATAAAACAATATGATTTACTTTCCGCAAATCTTGGCAGAAATGGACATTCAAATATGCATCCAGGATTTCAACGATGTACAAACTACATCAAATGTTGTAAGCTGCCTGGAGTCAACTATTTCCAAGTTGGGCAGCTACATAAATTTGTTTAATAAATAAAGAAATCTTTGCATTCTAATATGTTTCAAGTTTATATCTGCAGCCATTGGTCTAGCTAGTGCTACATAAACTGATTTCCTTAAATTGATTGAGGGCTTTATTTGAACTATATAATTTTACATGCAAAATAAATGATTGTCACATTATTTATGTTTATTTAATTCTTCATTTCTGATGGGAAGGGCAGAAAATCATTTCGCATTTATACTCGTATAATCTGATATGAAATTCTTATCTTGCCTTTTAATATTTGAAAACAGAAGTAACATCTCAATATTTTATTTTGGTTTAAATGAAAATTTGCAGTCAGCACCTATGTATCAATACTTGGAAAGAAAAATGTTCAAAGAAGCCTATAAGATTGCTTGTTTAGGTGTAACTGATACAGATTGGAAAGAACTGGCTATGGAGGCTTTAGAAGGACTTGAATTTGAAACAGCCAAAAAGGTAAAATTTTGTCTGTGCATTTGGATCTTCATTAATTTCTGTTAATTGATAAGTACTACTGTGTCATGAATTATGCATTGTCAATTTTTGAATGACAAATTATTTTTTATAAATTTAATTTTAAATATTTAAACATTTCATGGTAAATATTTATACTTTGTTCTCTTTCAGTTCAAAATTCTGTTAATGTAGACTTCCGGTAAAATAGATTTAGGTCATCTAGTCGTGTTTGCTTACTGGTTTTCCCATAAGGGCTGACATCAACCTTGCAAGTCTGAAAATACAAAACTTTATGCCACCAATTTTAACTGTTTGATCCACTAGGTCAGGTCCTTCCTAATTTTCTTTTTCTGAGTTTTAGCCACTCAGAGCTCCTGCCTCTCTTGTCTGACTGTTTCCTAGGCAACATCTCTCCCCTCACTTTCCCCAAGGCCATTCCCACATTCCATTACATGTACAGGTAAAGAGGTACATGGATTCTAAACATGCCTGAAGAGAGAAAGAACACTTCCCAGCTGCTTCCTACCATTAGAATGTGATAGAATAATTTTAAGTTTTGGACTGGTTTCTCTAATTAACATAGAAATAGCTGGGAAAAGGTATTTATTACATAACACTGAATATTATAATATTGCTAGGAGTTTCCAATTGCACTGCTCAGTCTTAGGCTTCTTAGCTTTATCAAAGTTGCTATAACCTGCCCCTCGAACCATGTGCATGATTATTTATTGATTACTGGTCTTTCTCCTGAAATAGACTTTGGTAAGCTTAGAAAATGTATTTGGAATTATTGCTAGGTATTATTTAAAATACAAGAATTTAAGTGAATTGAGATATACATCCTTACTTCTAAAATGTCCATTTTAACAAGCTGAGACCAACCACATTTTAATTAATGCTTTCTTTCTCTTTAAGAATAATCTTCCACCAGATGGATTGGTTCTTTAATGCCCAAAATGTTTGGATAGCTTCTCTTCTCTTCTCTTCTCTTCTCTTCTCTTCTCTTCTCTTCCCCTCCCCCCCTTCCCTCCCCTTCTCATATGAGGCATAAGAAAGCTGTTTTGGAATTCATAGAGACCATGTAGCCCAGAAGCACCCAGCTCTTAAACTCATACATCCTTTAGGCATTGCTTCAAATTTGCCAGAGCTCCATTCTGTGTTACCGTTCTTCCCATGTTTCTTTCATCTTCCTTTGAGCAACAGTGTTTACAGGAAGACAAAAGTAGTGTTTTCCAAAATATTTTTTTAGAATTAAAGTATGGTAAAGAAGAAAAGATTTTTTCTAATTTTTTTTTGAAGGCAGAGAGATTTAGGCCCCTTCTTTTTCAGGAAATCATATTTATGTTTTGCTTCCTGCCACAACTTTCTATTTAGCTTCTCCATTCAGTTTCCCTCTGCAGCGCTCCATGAAAAATGCTGCACATTCACAAACGCCTTTGCCACAACCTTGATGCAAAAGAACAGGACAATTCTTCCTCCCGTCTTATACTGCAGGGAACATTGCTATAAGGAAACACAGCCCCTCCTTTCCCTTGGTGATTTTCCTGCTTTCCATCCCTCTCCTATATACTCTGGAATCTTGCCGGTCTTCTGCCCAGGTACTCTGACAAGAGAGATGATCTGTTTGTGTGTTTGTGCATGTATTTATATATACATATGTGTTTCCCACACTTGTCACAGGAAGCAGTGATTGTGAAACCCTAAATTCCTTTCTCCTTTTTTGAAAAGATACATGGCCTTCTATATAAACTGGCTAATTGGGATGAAGAGGGGGTGGGCCACACTTTCATTACATCGATTCTGATTGCAAGATGTCAGGTTTCCAACAATGTATGAGCAATGCCAAGTGGTGGTGGTGGTGGTGCTGGAAGTAACAGAGGGGAAGGAAAGAACAGTGTCATTATTCATTACAAGAGATTCAATATTTGAACAGGAAATCAGTTTATTTGAATAAGTTTAATAAACTTTTTTTCCCTTGGTTCCAGTCCATGCCTTGTCCCAAGAGGCATGGTTTTTCTTTGAAAACATTTCGCTTCTCACCCAAGAAGCTTCTTCATCTCTGGCTGGCTGGTGGGGAATGGAAGGACTTATACTCCTTGCAGACGGTTGGTCGTTTGCATTCTTTTAGCTAGTCAAGGTCAGTTTTATTTGTGTCATCAGGGTCACCTGATGTGAAGCCTTCTTGGAACTGTTGAAAGGACTGTGTTGTAGACTGGAGATAGATGATGTCATATCCATTCCCCTCTGTTGAGAGAGGGCTGTTCAGTTTTGATATAGATGGCCTCTTTGACCCCTCTTTTTAAAAGAATTCAAATGACCAGCTGTTTACAAGGAATATGAACCCTTCCATTCCCCACCATCCAGTCAGAGCTGACGAAGCTTTGTGGATGAGAAGCGAAACGTCTTCAAAGAAAAACCAGAAAGTCCAGTTGTCTCTTGAAAAAAAACACCTTTGGGACAACCATGACCTGGATGACTGAGAATTTCCATAGACAGTCCATGCCTTGCTCTTGTTCTGTTCACTCTTTAGAGTTCAGTCCTCACCCACCACATTAAGTCTAATGCTTCCCTACTGTTTGAAAAAGGTTCTATACAGAATCCACTTTGACACCTGAAATTAAATAATATTAATAATGGACCATCACCATATGCCCTCATATGTAACCTATAGTGCAGTTGTCATCCTACATCACTTCTAGCAATCCCCAACAATATTTCGGTGGCACAAGGCATTGGGCTGTTTTGCAAGTGTGGTGCAGCTGTAATGTAGCTGTAGTGCTACGCTCTGTTCCAGTTCTACCTCTGTTACCGATTTAACACAAGTACATTTCAGAGCTTTGGATAGTGCTGATACTACTTTTTAACCTCTTCACCATAACCCAGATCTGCATAATTCATCTTACATGTAGTGGAGTCAGATAGATATTTGGTTAAAAACTCCATTTTGTCTTTTTTTTTTAAAGGCGAAGAGCATAGAACATACAGTAAATCTTAGCTATTGCCAACTCTCTCTAACTTAATTTTTGTTTAGTATTCATAACAGTTGCAAGATGTAGGGAACTGATTGATTATTTACTATGCATGATGTTATATTGTTGATATATTTTCTTCCTTTGTTTCAGTAGGCGTTTACCAGAATGCGAGATCTTCAGTATCTAGAACTGATAAGCAGCATTGAGGTAAAAAAATAATAATGACAATGTAAAGATGAGTACAGAATGCTGAGTACAGAATTGATCTAGTAGAATGTTGAAAGGGGAATAGGTATGTTCAAGAGTAAAAAAAAAGGGTTAAGAAAGTTTTTAACTGTAGTAATAAGAGATGCATACAAATAAAACAGTAAAAAAGAAAGACTCAGAGAACTGACCAGCTTTAATTTGTGTGCCATTTTTCTCCTGGGAAAAGATTGCCTTTCAGTTCCCATGAATGATTATTTCTGCGTAGCTGGATTTTTCTTCTTGTAGGTAGAGGGTAAAAGAAGAAGGAGAGAGGAGCGGTTTGACGGTTTTCTGAATTAAGTACTGTAGTTTTTACTACAGAAAACACGCATAAGAAAAAGAATATAGGAGTTGTTATGCTGGGTGGGTAATTGTCGTAAAAGAAGATCTCTGTTTCCATCTTCAAAGTCAAGAAAAAATTCTGGGTGGAACAAATTCTAAATGTGGAGCTGATTGTTAATGAAAATATTAACTATGCTTTAAATCAGTTTAACTAAATCATTTATGTAATCTCTTACGTATTGCAGTTTTTGACAACTTTGGGGTAATAGTTGTAAAATGCCCAAAGAATTGGGGATAAAGACTTACAAGTTGGATTCGCTGTTTGTTTTTAATTAAATATTCTTAGATCTCAGTGCCTTTCAGAGGACTGAAAGATACAAGCATACTTAACAGTGAACAAAATAATCCAGGTGCTCTTGTGATCTCTTTTCCTGATTCTTAATGGCAAACAACAACAACAACCAGGCAACATTGTTGCGGCCATTGCTTTTAGAAGACTGATTTGTCCTTAACGTAGCAGTCCATGTCACTTGGTTCTGATAATGCTTATGCATACTAAGATGCCATATATGCATTAAAATTATAGATAATTTTATGTCATGGTAGAAACCTAATAGTGGATTATTCATTTCATGGCAAGTCACAACAGATCAAGATTTCCATTTCTTTCACTGGAGAGAATGCTGGTGTTTGAGGGGTTTTGTAAAGTTCCTTCAATTTAGATGGAGAGTAAAATCCAACAGTATGGTTCAACTTTCTTTTAGAAATAGCACTTAGACTTATATACCACTTTACAGTGTTTTACAATTCTCTCTAAGCAGTTTACAGTGTCAGCATGTTCAACATGCTGACACTGTAAACTGCTTATAAAGAGTCTGGGTTATTTTCCCCACCTCAGAAGAATGGAAGGCTGAGTCAACCTTGAGCCTGGTGAGACTTGAAATGCCGGCAACTGGCAGCTAGTGGAAGTAGCCTGCAGTACTGCATTCTAACCACTGTGCCACCACAGCTGTTTTACATTTCCAGTTGCCTCCAGAATCTGGACTGAAGCCCCTTCTAACTTCTAATTCAAAATTTCAATGTGGATGGGGAAATTCTAGGATGAAGAAAGAAAGAAAAAAACAAAGAGTTATAAGTGGAACTCTACCCATCCAGTGTTGCAGTTTTCTTGTTTTGCCATGCATTTGAACAAGAAACTAATTTATAATGTTCTCAATTAAAAATGATAAAAATTTCTCTGGGGTTGATTGCCATAATCACAAGCAAACAAAAGAGTTTCAGAAAGTAACTGTTAAATTTAACACCCACTATTGTGTTTCTAATCTTGGTACAGAAAAAGCAAAACCTCTTTTGATTTTGAGCTTCACTACTGATGCCTTTATGGACGTGTCAATTGAGTTTTCTTTGAAACAGTACAGAAGTGGTTTGTCCGTCATGGTTGTTTCTCAGTCATTTGTTTCTCAACAGTTCTGTTATTTTTCTATGTCCTTGCCAGAAAACTCATTATACTTTACATGGTTGAGGGGTATTTTAAAAAGAATTCTTATTGATATCTGAAAAATCAAATACATAAACCAATCCTCCCCCCAAAAGTCCCTGATTGTCTTAGATCTTAGAGGAAAATGGAAATTATTATTGCTAATTTAACTTTGGTGGCCACCCAACTCTAGTAGACTCTGAATGTGCACGGTGAAGGTAGAAGTTGTTTTAAGGATTGGGTTTTCTTTTCTTTTTTTGGACAACTAAAATTGGCTGACATAAGAGGGCAATAAGGACACAAGCCTGGTGGATCATTATTTTTATCTTAATGGTTATTTTGGCATTCGTCCAGGAACACTGTTTGACTGTGTCAAACTAAGCCATGGTCACTTTCAAGTATGAGTATTTATTTTCTGTTCGGAGTTCAAGTTATCAGCCACAGTTGATCTTAGGAAATAGTTGTTGAACTCCTGGAGTCTTGAAGTCCAGTTTTCCATTTGGCTATTGGGTGGCATGTGAGATTAAATGAGAAGGATTGGGATAAGGGATGTGTTCTACCAAATACATCATAAACTTCTGTTTATTGCTGTTCCAATCCCCATGAAGCACTTTCAAGGGATTGAAGCTGAATGTTGTTTTATATCTATCATTTAAATCATACAGACCATTTATGTTTCATAGTACATGGTGTTGATCTGCAAAGCATCAAATCTTCTTTTGTATTATACTCTTCACTGATGAATATGTCAAGTGGTTCTGATATATAGCTGCTTCCTCCCATGGCTGTTTTTTAAAAAGCTTTAAAATATGTGTGTTCTCTCTGGCTCTTTTTTTAAAAAAAGTTTTTAATTGTTTTTGTTCTCTTAGATATTTCCATTTTAATGGACTTATTTTAAAATAGTCTAAACATGATTTTGTGATTTGACATTCATTTTAACACATTTGTATTATAACTCACCAGGGGAAGACCATAGTCATGAAAATGATGGTAAATAAATAAAAACATCAAGTGTATTAATTAGAATGTCAAACTAGTTTTTGTGTCTTTAAAAAATATCTGATGGCTTAAACTCTTTAAATCCTAGTTTGTGAAAAAGGCTTAGATGGGTGAAGTTATTCTCTTCTTAGTTAATCAATAATTTTGAATATTTTTCAGTCTTTCATGCTCAGTCCATTAATACATGGCATCACATATCCGTGTGGATTGTATTTCTTTTCAGATTTCCCCTTGGACGCTGTTGTAGATAGAATCAGCATTTCACAAGGGCAAATTCGCTGGAAGAGCCAGTATATTTGTGATTACTGCAAATATTCAGTTAATGTTATTTCTTAGGGTTTAGGTATCAGGGCCTGATCACCTATAGTTTTGCACATCATTTATATGAATGCATTGTGTGTGCATGCGCGCACACACACACATATGCTGGGCTACATTCATAAAGTCACAGCACTTGTGCATGTGTTTGTGGGTGTGTGGGTAGGCACAATGTATTCATATAAATTATGTGCAAAGCTATAGGTGATCAGGCCCTTATACCTTAAACCCTAAGAATGAAACTGTAATGAAACTGTTGATCTTAAAGGAACAGAATTTTAGACAATCTCTGAATCCTTTTCTCCAGTCAGTATCTTTTATTGCAATTAGTACTTGAAAAATTCATGTTTTGGGTAAACAATTCTATTTTATATATTGCATACTCCATTTTAAAAAGGCAATATATTTGTGCTGCATTTTTTTTTTGCCAATTTCATCTATAAAGAAACAAAAAAAAATCAAAATGAAATTAAGATGTTTTGTTATAATAGGATATTAAATATTCCTCTACTCTATGAAATGTTTGATTTCTGCTCTTTTTTTTTTTTTGCCTTCGTGTTTGATTTCTATTCTTAGTTCAGATGAACCTATGGTTTTATTAATGGAAGATTTTTTTATCCATAGTGTTGAGATATGATGCAAGTTAATATTTAATAGGATTGTGACTTCAAATGAGTGGATTTTAAGGAGATATATAGGGTTCCTAATAATACTAAATGTCAACTCCCATCAATCAGCCTTAGTGGCATGGCTAGCAGAGAGAAAAGCTGGAAGTTATGGTTAGCAATTTCTGGATGGCAACAGATTTTCAGCAGCCCTGACTTAACTTAAAGAAGTTCACAAAAAGGCATTTTCCATTCACCATCTCCACTGCAGTCTTCCGCCAGCTTCCTAAAATTATTAGGTCTAGTAGGTTATAGAAGACTTCTGGGAGAAGGGAATCACTAAATGTATAATGTTTATTCATTTTGTTAAAGAAATAACATTCGGATGAAATCCTTTGAGATGCACGCACGCGCACACACACGCACACACACGCATACATAAATATACGCTGTGTACATGTGTGTGTTGAAACTATAGTTGCATAATTAGTAACATCTTAATTAAAGGTGATTTACATTTTCTTATAAAACAGACAGATGTTTTAAATAAGTTTTTTTTTTTTTTTGCATTTTCCTTATTTTTATAGTGGGGTGTTTTACAGGTTTTTCTGGAATGTTACGGATAGGTGAAAAGAGTTGGAAGACTTAGTATGAAAAGCTTTCAAGCAGTGCTGTTCATGTCAAAAGGTCTAAGTTGGTTTATATGCCAGTAATCAGTTTAAAAGCTTTGTGAAACATAGCTTAATATTTTCAGATGCTCTGGCCTGTCATGTTTCCTGCCTGATTATGTTCACCAAACTATTTCTGTCCTTGTTTTATTTTTTAAGGAAAGGAAGAAGCATGGTGAGAACAACAATGATCTGTTTCTAGCAGAGATTTATGCCTACCAAGGAAAGTTCCATGAGGCAGCCAAGTTGTACAAAAGAAGTAGCCATGAAAACCTAGCACTTGATATGTATACAGACTTGCGCATGTTTGACTATGCAAAGGTATGTTTTTCCCTGGGTCTTTATTCTTCCTTGGACTTGGTGTTGATGAATCAAACTGTTTGGTCCTTTTGCAGACATCCTGTTGCAGACATTCAGAATCTCAAGGAATAACATTAATCTCTAAGGATCAATTTGATGGTGTTATTGTTTCTTACGCATCATGTAACATTTGCCTTATGCTAGAACATGAGTGTAAGAACAATGTTGCACTCTATTGCCTAGGACCATGCATGTCAGAGCAGCATTGTCATTTTAAACTTCGGTTTAATAAGGTTTTTCCTTAGAAATGATGCTAGGACCCACACTCTTTTATTTTTGCTGCCAATGCCTTTAATTATTGTGGTCAACCAGGATTTTTGGTGTATATGAAAGGGAATTGTAAAGAATTATGTAGCACACATTTCCACCAAAAGCATACACCTTTTTCCTCCTAAAAAGTTCAGTCGTATATATGTCTTTTAATTATTATATACAAAGGCTAAATTTTATTATTTTAAGGGAGTATTTATTTTACAACCAGGAACTTAAGAAAAAAGTGAGACCTGAAAGACTATTATGCTCCCACTTTTTTCCCCCTTCCATTCAGTTGTGCCCAATTCTCAGAGACTGCCAAACAAGTTGCTGCAGTTTTCTTGGCAAGATCTTTCAGAAGTAGTTTACCATTGCTTCCTTCCTAGGGCTGAGAGAAAGTGACCAGCCGAAGGTCACCTAACTGGCTTTGGGCCTAAAGCAGAACTAGAACTCATAGTCTCCTGGTTTCTAGTTTGATGCCTTAATCACTACACCAAACTTATACTTTATACTCCACACAATTGTTTTTTTCAAGACAATAGGTATATTTTGTCCATTTAGGATACTATAATCCAAGCCCATCCATTTTGAAGCCTTTCATATATGTCGGCATAACCACAGCTCTCAAAATTCTCATAAAGTAGATTTAAAAAAATCTCTGCATCTTTGCATTGCCTAAGATTTTTTTTGTTCACTTTCATCTTATCTTGGTATGCATAAACAAGATTCATCACAAATGATGAATGATTCTTAAATCTGCTAGACTTTGTAAACTAGTCCTTGAAAGTGCAACAATCTATACCACTGTAAGCCAAACTAAGAATACTGTACAAATAGGAATTATTCTGTGGTCCTCTGCATTGAAGTTTGTGCTAAGCAGACATTTTTATTTCATATGAAGCATATTCTCTATAGTTAAGTGAATAAAGTCCTAGATTTGCATACAACTATATGTATGCAACAGATTTAGATAAACTGACTTTGTTTTTCCTGAAGTATGCATAAACCAGAATGGAGTTATCCTTCATTTGCCCCATTTCAGTAAACTGTTTGGGACAATGAAAAGTATTGCATTTTAGGGGGAAAATGGATCAAATATATATCCTTTTTCAAAAATAATATATAAAATAGAGAGAGAGAGAGAGAGAACTTTATGTGAGGAAAGCAAAGTATTGATGAAAATACATTATTACACAAAAGTATAGTTAAACATACAAAAGTATACTTAAAATCCTAATATATCTCATATAGTACTGCAATAACAATTTTGAATTAACAGTCTCTGCAATGATTTTTGATTCCTGTAAATAAGATGTGAAGTTGTTTTTATGAATGTCTGAAAACTGAATTCCCAGGGACAAATAAAATTGGATGGTATTTGAAAAATGTGACAGTTTTATGTGCGGATGAGGGGACTTTGGAAGTTTTCCATACTTTTCTTATCAGAATAAGTCAAAAAGCTGTCTACTGGATAGTATCACTCATTAAACTCATTAAAGATTAAGCTTATCCATTACTGAACAAAAGCATTTCCATGTACACACATAGATTATCGCATTTTGGTCTTAGGGGAAAAAAAACCTCTCATTTGAAATGCAAATTGCATTTATATATTGGAATAACATTTACTTCTTACAAATTCCTCTTAAATATTTGGCTTAAAATTGGCAGGTCTATGTATGGTGATACATAAATTTAACTCATGAACTAGAAATCTGCCATTATGCTAATATATGAATGTTAGCATTTCTAATGTCCACTGAAATTTTTCACACATGGGTAAGCTTCCTTCAGGTCAGAGAACTTGTGGCAGGTATGTTTAAGATGTAAAATAAAATATTTTAAATGGTATTGCAAATAAAGTTTCCATATAGGAACTATTGATGCATATTATGTATGCAAAACTGAGTAGGGAATTGGAGATATTATTTATTATGTATTAAGGAAAAAGACAGTTTGACCATTCTTAGTATTTTTCATTCTGCAGATTTAATCAGGGCTGATTATTTATATACTGTATATGTATATAATAAGTGCTTCATTTTAATTTTGGTGTCAATTTACAATTACTGTTGGATAATTATATCAGAGTTTACCTGTTCTTTCAAATGTTGTATCTTTGTTTGTTATTAGTCCAGTTAGTCTTAAGCTGCTGGAGTTGTAAAATTTATCTCTTGAGATATAGTAATTATCAATATATCTGATCAGTGGGACATCCTTTAATCTAGATATAGTTCGAGAGACTACATATGCATGTGACTTTAATTTATTTAACAATATTAATCACATATTTTCAACTCACAAATAATTGGAATCCATGAAAGTGGCATTTCTCTTTATAATTCAGTTACCAAATCCAATTATACAAGTAAATATTATGTCTCATTTCTTGATTAGCTTCCTGACAGTCAAAGAAAGGCAAATGTCCTTTTTAAGTGGACCACTCAGAACATCAGATTCTTCTAAGCCGGGGGTGTCAAACTCGCTTTGTCATGGCATCGTCTCATGACGTATCGTGACTTTTTCATTTTCACTAAACGGAGCATGGGCATGGCCAGCATGTGACGCATCCAGCCCATGAGGGGTTGTGGTTCACCGGCAGCAGGTGCAGATGACTGAGGTCTCGGAGAGCGAGGACTCAGATGAGGGGCCTGCATGTGATGTAGGGATGGGGCCAGGACCATCAGGGGGTGGAATGCTGCCTTCAGAGATTGTGGAGGCTGGCAGCAGTGATGAAGAGATCCCCAAGGAGCCTGTGCCCAGTGCTTGTGCGTGCAGGGCTGCTTGAAGGAAAGAGCAGCTGCTGCAGCGTGGGCGACTCAGGAGTAAGGCTGCAAGGTAATGGCCCCTCCCTTAAGAGATAAAAGCCAACTGAGAAACCGGAGTTCTTTGCAGGAAGCAAAGAAGTTTTTGCACTCAAGCCTTGTGGACATTTGGAATATCTTGGTTGGTGTTTGGAGACTCTTTGTGTTTGAAATATTTCTTAGTAACTTTGCACAAGCCTTGCACAACCTTGGCAAGGTTCGTTCTTATCAGAGATAATTAATTTGAAACAGCCTTTTAACCATGAAGGAACAGAACTCATAAAGAATCATTAAAAGGTTTTGCCGTTACTTCTGTTTCGTGTTTATTTCCTTGGAAAAAGGTTTGGGTCAGAACATGAGGCATGAGTTTAACACCCCTGTTCTAAGCAAAAATAATTTTTTCCCAAAAACTTTTCTAGAAATACTTGGATTAGAGGTGCTCCATAGGGTCATCCATGGTTAAGTCACAAGATTCTCTTCAATGTTTTAGCAAACAGTGCTTCCCATCTCATCCCTGGTTATTTGAGATTTTATCATGTTCTATTTTGAGCTACTACCTTTTGAGAAAAAATATTCTTCCCCACAGTGTAGTACTCTTCAGAAACCACTGTTAAAAGAGCTCCAGTAAAACATTACATTACCCTGAAATTCATGGGTCAGATACAACTTCCAACCTTCCTAGTTTGCTAATTCTTTCCATAAGTTGTGTTGAATATGCTGTTAAATATGCAACATGTTTTTATTCAGACTCATGATAAATCCATGGAAATATTGTAAGAATGAGCATTTTAAAGAATAATATCACTAAATCTTAACTTTACTCAGAAAAGTCATATTTGGCAAATTACCGAAAGCAATCAAAAACTGATGCTTCATTTGCATTTTCCTCTCTAGCATCAAAATGAAATTCTGCTTTTCTACAGATGACTTTTTTTCTGTCTCAACTTTGAAAGATTCCCCCCTCCACTCCCTTTCCTTGTGATAAAAGTCATGATTAAATCAACAGTAATCAAGTGTTTTCGACATCTCGGCTTTTCTTGTTTGCCCTTTTTAGTATAGTATATTGTAAATTCCGGTTTAACCCCCACTCCAGTTAAAACTGAATTGCAACTGCTAATTGAGGCAAATGCTTCATTAAGAATATCCTTTCATTTACCTCCTCAGGAATTCCTTGGGTCTGGGGACCCCAAAGATACAAAGATGCTAATCACAAAGCAAGCAGACTGGGCCAAGAACATCAATGAACCAAAAGCAGCAGTAGAGATGTATATGACTGCGGGGGAGCATTTGAAGGCCATAGAAATCAGCGGAGATCAAGGCTGGGTTGATGTGTATGTCTTGCTGCCTTTCTGAGAAATATGCTATTATGTTCTCAAGAGAAATGTTGATATTTGTTTCCACTGTTTACTATAGGTAGTCCTTGACTTATGACCACAATTGAGCCCAACATTTCTGTTGCTAACTGAAACATTTGTTAAGTGAGTTTTGCCCCATTTTACGACCTTTCTTGCCACAGTTGGCAAATGAATCACTGCAATTGTTAAGTTAGTAACATGGTTGTTAAGTGAATCTGGCTTCTCCATTGACTTTGATTGTCAGGAGGTGGGAAAAGGCGATCAGATGACCGCAGGACACTGCAACCATTATAAATATGAGTCAATTGCCAGGCATCTGATTTTTGATCACGTGATCATAGAAATGCAGCAGCGGTCATAAGTGTGAAAAAGGGTCACTTTTTTCAGTGCCATTGTAACTCCGAACAGTCACCAAATGAATCATTGTAAGTCAAGGACTACCTGTACTTTATATTGAGAGAGGGGAGAACTATGTGATAGGGTCTCGTGTTTTATCCTTTGTGAAAAAGCTCAGAGTCTTTGAATTAGAACTCAGGCAGTTTTATTACATGCAATACAAATTAATAATATAAAACTATTGAAATAACTGCCCCATACCCTGACTTCAGGAAGAGACTTTTCAGATTAAAAAAAATTATTAAAAGGCATGAAATTTTGTGAGCTATAACTTATTTCATCAGATGCAATGATGTGGCTCTAGATTGATACAGGAATTACATTTCAATGGCAAGAGGAAGGAAAGGAAGACAAGATGGTTGTGTAGTTGTAAGCTACATGTGAAACAGATTACAAGTATCAATTAGCAAGTGTAAAGCCATTATGATCTTCTGAGACAGCTGAAACCTTTTGATGTACATGAGTTCAGCAATCTCTTGCTCAATTGTGCTATTAAAGCTTTCTTTTTTCTAAAATAGCTACCTTGAGATCTATAATGAAGTGCCCTAGGAGGCTTCAATATTACTTTATTCTTGTTTTGACTCTTGGTATTAATTATTTTGTGCAAAGATTGTTCTGTTTGTCCTAAGCAGAAACCAGAGGGGGTACTGCTGTCAGATAAAGGCACCTCTCATCTTCTGTATGTAGTTGTTGGGGGCCTGTGGCAGCTGTGATAGCTGACCTGAGAAATACTTTCTGAACATTTTCCTCTCCCTCCCCTAACCTTTTCTTTACTTGAGATTCAATGATGACATTTTCATCAATTATTCATCAAATTCTGTCATGACTTCAACAACTTTTACCTCATCATTAACCTTAGCCTTGAGGTTACAGCAGGGGTGTCAAACTGGCAGGCCTCAGGCCAGATGGATTACACGCAGTCCAGCCCACCCCAGCTCCGTGAAGTGAAAAAAAATCGCAACATGACACTGTGAGTTTGACACCCATGATCTACAGAATAGGTTCACCTCCTTGATACACTGTAAACCCACATAATAGAACACAAATGTTACAACACAATGTTATACAGGAAACTGCGTATCACAAGGCACATCTCCCTGCTTTCCGTTTCCATCCTGAATCAGGCTTGTCAGCCACAAAATCAAACTTGCTCTATACTTCAATTGCTTTGTTCTGATGCAGTTGACAGTCAACTGAGGGAATTAAACCAGAAACTCAGGAAATTGAACTACTCACTCAACTAGATCAGTAGACAAATCAGAAAAGGAACTGGATTCCCAGGGAGGAAAGTCTATTAAAAGACACAATAGTAACAGAATACTACTTGTTACCACTACTTTTCATATAACCTACATCTGCATAACCACCTTGTTTTCCTTCTCCTCTGCCACTCTGTCTATAGTCCCTCCCTTGCATCTGATGAAATGTTATAGCTCAGAAAAACCTATGCCTTTCAATAAAGTGTACTGTAGTCTGGAAAAACTGCTACTAGAATCATCCTGATTGTTGATTATTTTATTTATATAATAAAATAAATAAATTTATATTAAATAAAATAAAATACTAAAAAAATACTAAAAATAAATACTAAAACCCTGAGGTTTGGCTACCACAGACCATCATAGCTCTCCCTACAAAGGCCTTTATCTTTATGTGATTGAAATGCTTATGATGTCTCTTTCAGAACATTCTTTTGTTTGTTTAGTTATATGCTTCTTTTCCAAAAGCATAAGTTCAGAGTTGCTCTCAGCATTTATACAGCTGGTGCCTAGGACAAGCAAGTAGAACTTTTCAGAAACATCATACAACAGTTGCAATCTTAGAAACAAATTGTACTACTCAAGGTCAGGCATAGTTTTAGTGCATCAGTTATTCAACAGATAAAAATGCTGATTTGCTTAATGTTGATTTCAGAGGCTTCAGAACACATTTCTGAAAATGTGGCACATTTTAACTGTAAGATGTAGGTCTTAAGATTTTAACAAGATTCCATAGAGTTCTTTAAAAAGACTGGGGGGGGGGGCTTCATTGAGCCTGCAAATTGAGGAATCTAAATAAAGGGTCTCTGCTACAGACATTAGAATGTGAATTTACTTAGTTAAGAGCTTTTGTCCTCCAGCAGTTCCAGGTTTGTGGCTTGGCAAAGAACTGCTGGAGTATAAATGTAAACAACCATTCAGCTGTTTGCTTGCATCTCTGGCAGCATCCTATGTGTTTGTGTATGTATATGTGTTTGCGTATGCGTGCATCTTTATAGTAAGAATTAGGAAGACTTATAGACAATAACGGGGCTAGATTTCTTCTTCTTTTTTAAAAATTAAGATTGATTGATATTGCTCGAAAGCTGGATAAAGCAGAACGAGAACCTTTGACGAAGTGTGCCTATTATTTTAAAAAGTTATTGAACCATGGGTATGCTGCAGAAACCTATATCAAGATTGGTGATCTGAAGGCCTTGACACAGCTTTATGTGGAAACTCAGCAATGGGATGAGGTAAATGCAGCTCACTCTAAGGGAATCATTTATCACTTCTCAGTATTTATGTCTGTGTAGTCTTAAATCTTTATATTGTATGAACAAAATTCCCCTTTCTATTTAAATTGTGCATGCATTTTAATGTGTTTCAATTTGCAGACAGATCTTTCACTGCAGAACCTTTGTTTAGGATTCTGGCCAATCTGCATACTCTCATACAAAATGCTCCATTATGTTCTCATCCTTCTGATTTTCTATTCTATTTTCTCAAGAGATACACAATATTTATTGGAGTTTTTAACATAAATATTTTGGGGATCATGCAACATTAGACCCCTGGCTTTTATGTAAATTAAGCCAATAAGACAGCATTTAAGTACTGAAATAGAATAGCCAACATCCCCTCCCTTTAAATATGAAATGAGGATGTTTCAAGACTCAAGATACTAAACATCCTGGGAGTGAAAGGGGAATCTACTTCCATACATCTTCCTTTAGGTAGAATTAACTAAATGTAGTAAACAACTCCAAGCAATTGTAAGCATCAGGCTAGATAATCTTTTAGAGGTGTGAAGAAGTCATACATTAACATAGTAACCTAATTGCAAATAAATATTTATTGAAGAAAAGATAAGAAAGAGGTCTTGTACTATACTTACAGGGCATGCCAAATAAAAATATTACATTGCTAGACAGTAGAGAAGTGGAAGCAAGGTAACCTGTCATAAAAGTCAATAAAATCCTGTACCAGAAATCTGGTCTACTAAATGTTTATATTGAAGTAAGCTATTCTGATCCCAATAAGGGAGCCAGTTTGGTGTAGTAGTTGAAAGCACCAGGCAAGGAACTGGGACCCCATAAGTTCTAGTCCTTCCTTATCTGCAAAGTCAGCTGGGTGATCTTGGGCCAGTCACACACACTCAGCCCTAGGAAGCAGGCAGTGTCAAACATCTCTTGCCAAGAAAGCTGCAGAGATTTGTTCTATACCTAGTAAACAAAGACATGGCCACCTTTTTGCCAAAAAGACTTGTGTACAGGTAATTCTCGACTTACAACAGTAATTGGGGCCAGAATTTCCATTGCTAAGCAATGTAGTCATAAAGTCCGAAGACGTGTGACCATATCACTTCGCAACAGCACTTCATGTTGCCATCATTATCTGAGTTCTGACAGTTGTTAGCCAAGAACCCACCTCAATCCAAGCCATTCTGGATTTGGTCTCTCATGGCCTTGAGCCTCTGTAAGGGAAAAGACGGCTGCCTCTTCAACTTCCCTCCCACCAGTCTCCCTCATCTCTGCCTTTTTGATTGCCCTGCATCCTAGATTGGGAACTTCTTGGTAGTTGCAAGAGCTGCAAGAAGATCCTGAATCACAGTGCAGTGTGCAGTTGCCCCAGTTGCCCCAGCATGAAGCTTGAAGCCACATTGTCCTGGGAAAGCCTCAGCAGTAAGGCCAAAAATACAACCACCCCTGGAATTCTTAGCTGCCCCAGTTCAGTTCCAGCCACACTTGCCCTCATCACCTTGTAATGTCCCAACTGCCCTGCATTCCACTGCCCTTGTTGCCCTTTGCTTTCTTCTTGCTTCTGGGGCTGATGAAGTATACCTGCCCTGGCCCTTTGTGAGGCAGATCCTGGTCACATGATCTGCCTTACCCAGGTTTTATCAGCAAATATCTAGGCCCAATCTTGGGAAGAAAGTCCCAAAGGTGCTTTTTCAGGAGGCACTTGGACGTTCTTGTTTTTTCTTTTGAAGACGTTTCACTTCTCATCCAAGAAGCTTCTTCAGCTCTGACAGGATAGTGGGGAATGGAAGGATTTATATTTCTTGCAGACAGAATTCTTCCTTGCAGGAAGAAAGATTTCTGGAGCCAGCAGTTCATTGAAAAAGATCCGGGCAGGCAAGCCTCAGCAGTGGGAGCAAGAAGACAGTGAAGGTCAGCTAGGCAGCAGTGGCCATGGAGTGCAGGGGTCCAAAAGTGCAGAGATGGCAGGAGATAGGCAGGTGTGCGAAGTTGAGGTGCCCCTCCAGTCCTAAGTATGGGCAGGCTGCCAAGCCGCCCCAATTTTGATTAAATGACTCTGATGGTGCTATAATGGCCATCACTTCAGGGACCAGTTGTAAATCCCTACATGTGGTGCCATCATAAATTTGAATAGTCACTGCACAAATGGTTGTAACTCAAGGACTACCTGTATTTGCAAAGAGAAGCTGGCAGGAATGCCCAAAGGAGATGGGAAATAGTCTACCTGTCAAAGGCAGCAAAAAAATACTAAGCAGAACAAACTGATCTGAGTCCTCCTTTTTTGTTTGGGCTCCCTTCCTTAGGGAGTGTTTTAGAGAGATTTTGTGTTGTGTTGTTAGTCTGTTGATAAGTCCTCCTCTTTACATGGAGAGGATAGCCATTGGATTAGATAAGAATCAGCAATCAAAGAATCAATTCACTATCCGCATATGCAGTAGCACAATTAAGATCCATTTTGCAATAATGGTGTTTTAAGAACAGATCAACCAGTTGCAAGGGAAATTTGCCATCTGACAATTTCTTTAATTGTGAATGATATAGGTAATCTACCGAGCTGTGACATCAGCATGTTAGATGCCAAGGATGGCTGTTCAGGGTTTGATTAATAAGGCATTATTACTGGCTGTCACTAAGTAGGACAGCGTACTTATTTAAATATCTTAATGTCTGCTACAAATAAATCCTGAAATCTGTTAATTTGAAAACAATAATATTCAGTTGCATTTTTAGACTGTAATTATTTTCCTAAGCATGGACTTATTCTGTACTTCAGGCTTTTGCTTTGTGTGAAAAGCACCTTGAATTTAAAGATGATGTCTATGTTCCATATGCTCAGTGGCTGGCAGAAAATGATAGATTTGAAGAAGCTCAAAAAGGTAAAACTATATTGCTACTGCTACTGTCAGTACAACTATTATCAAAGTACTTCCCTGAAATTAAAAACAAGCATAATGTTTATTTGGGAGACATGTTAATATTTAATTTCAATAGAAGAGAATATCTGTAGCTCAGAGTTGACGTGACAGAATCATTTAGGAGAGCTGGGTGGTATAGAAATTTGATAAATGAAATAAAATAAATAAAATGTTTAGTTCTCTGAGCTTGATTGCAGAAGTTTCATTACCCATCTGAGTAATATAATCAGTGTGAGTAAGTGTGGGGTTTGCTACCAATTTATATAAAAGTAGTTTTCCTGATAGTTTTGGTGTGTGTGTGATTTTCTATGTGGTGGTACCTTGCTTAGAATATTGTTTTCTGCCTGATCCCTGCTTTTGTGTGTTGGATGCTGATGGGGATGTGTTCTTGTTGTTTTGTTTCTTTCCTATAATTTTTTAGTATCTTTTGAATGGTATGTAAATGTGGTTTATCTCTATGTGTCTTTTGATGATTTATTTAATATTTTAATTAAAAGACAGAAATCATCTAAAAGCTCTAATTGATATATTAATATTCATGGAGAAGTTTTATTTTAAGTTATTTTAATAAATTAGTTAAGAACAATTTGTTTAAAATAATTTATTACAGTGCTACATTTATGTTTAGAAAAGTGTTTCCATACATTCAGATAGCTTGGTACCTCTTTTTAAATAAACTAAAGTCAGTGTTTGCTCATACTTTTTGTGATTAAAGGGTATCGTAAATATGAATATTCATATTCTAGCTTATCAAGAGACCAGTGTACTTGGGAATAGCTTTCATATTTTCTGAGGTACATTTCAGAATCCTATTTCATGCACTTTATATAGAGTGGCAATTTCTGTGCAATATACATTGGATGTATTCATTATAAACATGCCATATGAATCTGGAAGGACTTGAGAGATCTAAGGATTTTAAAATTGCATAGTTTTCCTCTTTTCTAAAATATATTTTCTAAAAGATATTTTTGTTCTGTTTTTCAGTTTAAGGTACTCTGAGCTTACATCAAAGTTTATTTCTTCTAATTTTGTGTGGAAATGCTGCTATATAGCACTTCTCTGCTAATTCATAGCACTGTCTTCCTAAGGGGCATGAAAGCAATCCTGCAGCTCATAAAGCTATCTGCATTTGTATGGGATACTGTGACAGAGTTTAAATAGCAAAGGGACTCTTATTTTTCTAGCAGTTTGACTATGAATACAAGGCATAATGTTTAAGGGAAAATAAGTCACCTCTAGTGTGTAATGGTGTGCATCCTAAATTCCTGGGTTTATATTGGTGAAAGGATCAGACCTAATTTTTATATTTTTTGCTGGAAAGCTGGCCTATGAAACATAATCTGCCATTCTGTAATTGCCAGGGACGCCTAATAGATCTAGTATTTTGCTTTTAGTTGTGAAGTCAGTACAGGATAAACTTAAGCGTGTGCCCTTTTTCACATCAAGGTGACTTTAGATTTCACAGATTACCTATAATATTGCTTTGTGAGAAGACATTAATACTGATTTTATTAGCCGCTTGGCTTGAAATATCCAATCGTTGTTGTCCTGGCTTTTACTATTACCGTAATAGCAAGTAAAATTCATACTGATATTCACCCGTCATTTGTTTCAGTGATACTTATTGGGAGCCAGGAAGAGAATCTTACAAATGACTAGAAATTGTGCAGCTTCTTTGCTTGATAGATTATGCATTTAGGAAGTTTGGGGGTACCACAAAACTCACAAGACTTCTGTTTAGAAATATATGTATTAAACTTCCCTGCAGAGTGTAGAAAAACAGAACATAATCCCTTTGGATGCTTTGTTGTTGATGTTTAGATTTGGTGCCTTTTCTTAATTTTAGTCAAGCTCATTAGCTTAATCACAGTTTTCTTTATTTTGACTCCCCTTTGTAGCATTCCATAAAGCTGGCAGACAGACTGAAGCTGTTAAAGTGTTGGAACAATTAACTCACAATGCTGTGGTAGAAAGCCGATTCAATGACGCAGGATATTATTACTGGATGTTGTCCATGCAGTGTTTAGATATAGCTCAAGGTAAGGAAAAGCTAGCAAGTTTACTTTATTCACGCATGAAAATAGAATATCTAACATACTCTTGAGGTCTTCAATGACTGTTCTTTGTGAATTGCACGATATAGGACCTCTGGGTGGGGGAGGAGAAGTTTGGAGAGGTTCTTATCAGGGCCCAGTATTTAAATGATACGTATTATAATTTTTCTTTTCATATAATGTTGAGAATACATGATCAGCATAGAACCCACTTTCTACTGAAGTTCCTGCTATGCCCCCAGATGTCCTTCCATAGATGACACAAGCTCGTATGAGACATTGTCTTTCCTTATTCATCTCACAGTTTTCTGAACGAGGCAGTAATAATTCCTATAGTTTTTATATCGCAAAACTGGGCCTGAGCGAGAAGAAAATAATTTGTCCCTTATCTTTTAACTAACCTGTGGCTGAAGTTTAGAATTAGTTCCAAGTAAGTTTTTTCCATTATAACATGGTAGATTGAAGCAGAGTGAATGTCTTTCATTATGTGACACTATGCAAACATTTCTTTATTTTGCAAGTACACATAAGATACAGATCAGTCGTCTCTAGCACACTGAGCTGAGATTACAGCTGTTCTTCTGTTCACTTAACTAGAAATATCTCCCTCTGAACTCAGCAGGATTAGCTTCTAAGTAAACATGTCTTCGAGTGTGCTAGAGGATAGCAGATAATTTCAAAGAGCTTTTCAAATCCAAATGTTGAGTTGGAAGATGTTGTTCTCTTTGCTTGTAACTTCTGCGGTTTGATATTCAAGAGCTGGAAGGCAAATGTATTCCATTGTTAGCCATAGTAGCCAGCTATGCTCAAATGATGTTTCAGTGCCATTTGTGCCTGGGTTTTCCTCTTTTAAAGTAGAATATTTCATGCAAAGTTAAGTACAAAAGCTATGGTTGGAGGCACATTTGTTTAGGAGCATTAATGCAAGGTTCCTTCAGCATAAGTCTTTCATTATTGGGTTGGCAACTGTTCAGAGGGTTTTATGCTGATATGGCCTTTCCCTCCCTCAGACAATGAGGAGCAGAAGACTGAAATGTTAAAGAAGTTTCACCACTTCCAGCACTTGGCAGAACTGTATCATGCCTATCACTTCATCCACAAATGCACTGTAAGATATTTCAATTCACTCTTTGACCCACAAACTTTCATGAGTTAATTAACTGATGTCATATTTGCTTTTTGAAGCCTGCTGTCATGGGGAGACTGTTGTGGGATTGTCATACAGCTAATTTCTTTTGTGTACTTTATTTATTTATTATTTATCTGTTAAGACCCTTACCTTGATATTGCTGCACCTCAGTGTCTCAGATAGAAATCTGGGAATAAACTTTTATTTTTCCACTGCAGGAAGAACCCTTCAACCACTACTTACCTGAAACACTCTTCAATGTGTCTAGGTTTTTACTTCATAGCCTTACCAAGGAAACTCCTTTGGGAATTTCTAAAGTGTATCCTTTGAAAGGTAAAGGCAAAGGCATATGTCAAACCCAAGACTTATTTGGTGAGCGAAATAAAAGACTCAGTAGTGGATTGTATACGGCATCCTGCAAAAATATAGGGTTATTATATTGTGTGATTATTCTGCGGTTCACAGCCTACAAATCCTTTAATACTATGTTTTATGTTTGATATCATAAAACAGTTCCTGAATAATTTTGAAACACTTATATATCATGAAAACATGCAGCTTAGAAAATATGGTCTTTTAGTTGATAAAATGGGCTTTAGCCCAGGAAAACCTATGCCCCCATAAATATCTTTGATCTGTCATGAGATTTTCAATTGCTTTTGCTGCAGTAGATTAGTATGGCTACTTCTCTGAGCTCCATTATTGGGAAAAATGGGAAGACATGCTGCATCTTCCTTTTAAAATAGCATTATGCTACTTTTAAAAAAGAAAATTACTCATATGAACAGAGTTAATAAAATAATATAATTTATCACTTCCCTCCTTAAAAAAAGGAAAGAAATCTCATGAGCAAAACAACTCCCAAATGCTTTGAACAGATTATTTGAAAGTCTTCTTCTTTGCCTTTTGTTAGATAAATCATGTGTTGACTGATCATATGTTGATGAAAATTGATTGCTGCAAATCAGGTATAGATTTGTCCTTCTAGTATTGTATAATAGTAATTTTTGGACATCCTTGCTGCATGAAAAATCCATTTATTTTTATGTTGATTGATTCCAAATGCTGGAGGTATAGCCAAGTGGAACATACACTTTCTTAACTAGCAAATCAATTTAAACTTGACTCTTTAATCAATTTAAAGTCATGTTAACCTTTCTGTGAATTTCAAGCCCAAATGTGACAATAATAGGGCAAGTGTGTGAGTTAATCTTTTAATTTGTAAATTACATTTCCAGCAACAAGGTGATTGCTTCCAGTCCTTATTAATCACTTTTTGATGTATCCAGTACATAAAATAGACTTATCTGCTATATTCACCACATTTTAAGTTAAATAAATCTCACATTCTTTAAAGCAGTCTTCCTGTAGTTCACAAGCAGAGAGTGTTCACGTTCATTATACAGCAATTCTCTGGAATAAGAGAAAATTGTAATTAGTTCCAGTAATCCCAGTCCCATAAACTATTTTAATAAAATAAATTCCAGTATCCTCCTAACGGAATATAATCCTGATTCTAAAGCATCCACATCCCTCCCACCCACCACTCCCAGAAGAACAGACAGAGAAAGCAGTAGGTACACAGACAGAACCCACACAAGACAAAAGTCCTATGCAATCTCCAGGTTCTCCATTATTTGACAAATCATGCTTACTAAGCCTGCTAAATCTAGTTCTAGAGATTTACCTTCCATACTATGCCAAAAATGTGTGCGTGGTATTGTTTGATTTGTATATATTTGCTAAATTTGTATAATCCCCCATTACATGTAAATGAAAGGTTCATATAAAATTATCACCTATTGCCACCTCCACACATTCCATTTTTGGCCTCCGCACACCCCATTTTTGGCCCATTCCGGACGGCGGGAATCGGAAGAGGCAGAAAATGGGGCGCGTGGAGGCCAAAAATGGGATGCAGAGGCTGAAAATGGGGCACACGGAGGCGTCAATAGGCAATGGCAATCCCTGCAGCCTGAAACAGCTGATCATCGGGAGGCTGATCCTACAATCAGCTGCTTGTGCTAATCAGGCTGTGCTGAAGCTGACCAGGCTTTTTGCTGTTTGCTGCAAGAAGGCAAATTGCTGGGAAGAGAGGCCGAAGGGTGGTGGCCAGCAGGTGGCCGGGGCTTTGGCAACATTCGCTGTATAAGATGCATAGACATTTCCACCCACTTTTAGGGGGGGGTGCGTCTTTTACTCCGAAAAATATGGTAATTAGAATAAAAAAAAGAAGCATAATAGAAAGAGGGTGAGAGTAAACATTAACTGTACAGGTGAAACTCGAAAAATTAGAATATTGTGCAAGAGGTCATTTATTTCAGTAATGCAACTTAAAAGGTGAAACTAATATATGAGATAGACTCATTACATGCAAAGCAAGGTAGTTCAAGCTGTGATGTGTCATAATTGTGATGATTATGGCTTACAGCTCATGAAAACTCCAAATCCATAATCTCAGAAAATTAGAATATTACATGCAATCAATAAAACAAGGATTGTACATAGAACAATATTGGACCTCTGAAAAGTATAAGCATGCATATGTACTCAGTACTTGGTTTGGGTCCCTTTTGCAGCAATTACTGCCTCAATGTGGCGGGGCATGGAAGCTATCAGCCTGTGGCACTGCTGAGGTGTTATGGAAGACCAGGATGCTTCAATAGCGGCCTTCAGCTCTTCTGTATTGTTCGGTCTCATGTCTCTCATCTTTCTCTTGGCAATGCCCCTTAGATTCTCTATGGGGTTCAGGTCAGGCGAGTTTGCTGGCCAATCAAGCACAGTAATCCCACGGTCATTGAACCAGGTTTTGGTGCTTTTGTCAGAGTGGGCAGGTGCCAAGTCCTCCTGAAAAATGAAGTCAGCATCCCCATAAAGCTCGTCTGCAGAAGGAAGCATGAAGTGCTCCAAAATCTCCTGGTAGATGGCTGCATTGACCCTGGACTTAATGAAGCACAGTGGACCAACACCAGCAGATGACATGGCTCCCCAAATCAACACAGACTGTGGAAACTTCACACTGGACTTCAAGCATCTTGCAGTGTGTGCCTCTCCATTCTTCCTCCACACTCTGGGTCCTTGGTTTCCAAATGAGATGCAAAAGTTGCTCTCATCAGAAAAGAGGACTTCAGAGCAACAGACCAGTTCTTTTTTCTTTAGCCCAGGTAAGACGCTTCTGACGTTATTTGTTGTTCAGGAGCGGCTTGACAAGAGGAATATGACATTTGAAGCCCATGTCCAGGATCCATCTGTGTGTGGTGGCTCTTGATGCACTGACTCCAGCCTCAGTCCACTCCTTGTGAAAGTTCCCAACACTTTTGAATGGCCTTTTCCTGACAATCTCTCCAGGCTGCGGTCATCCCTGCTGCTTGTGCATCTTTTTCTTCCATACTTTTCCCTTCCACATAACTTTCTATTAATGTGCTTTGATACAGCATTTTGGGAACATCCAACTTCTTTTGCAATTACCTTTTGAGGCTTTCCCTCCTTATGGAGGGTGTCAATGATGGTTTTCTGCACAACTTTGAGGTCAGCAGTCTTTCCCATAATTGTGATTCCTACTGAACCTGACTGAGAAACTATTTAAAGGCTCAGGAACCCTTTGCAGGTGTTATGGCTTAATTAGCTGATTAGAGTGGGACACTTTGAGCCTAGAATATTGAACCTTTTCACAATATTCTAATTTTCTGAGATTGTGGATTTGGGGTTTTCATGAGCTGTAAGCCATAATCATCTCAATTATGACAAATCACAGCTTGAACTATCTTGCTTTGCATGTAATGAGTATCTCATATATTAGGTTCACCTTTTAAGTTGCATTACTGAAATAAATGAACTTTTGCATGATATTCTAATTTTTTGAGTTTCACCTGTATATACTATTATCAGTGTATATTACCTATACAACTGTATATACCTACATTTATCTCAAATGGTATAGAGTTTCCTGCTTGAGTAGGGGGATGGACTAGAAGACCTCCAAGGCCCCTTCCAATTTTATTATTCTATATTGGGAAAGAAAGAGAATGATGGAAACACAACTGTTGAGGCAAAAGGAATAGTATCTGGATAGGGAAGAAAATACAGAAAATTCTTTATGTATTTCATTCACCAGGCACAGTTTCTGTTTATGGGCATCTAATCTGGGACTAATTTTGTAGACATTTGTACCTCATGCTAATTACTTTTGTTTTAAAAGCTCCTTCTCTTGTTATGAGCCAATTATATGAGATGGCCCTGCAGCAATCTACAGATAAAGGAAAACTCTTTTGTAGAATAATGACACAGGAACCTGTCTTCAATGTTTCTAACAATTCTGGAGTGTCAAAAGCAACCAGGAGGATTAAGACACATTAATCTTTAATCTTCAAAACACCGTAAGACAGAAGTATTGACATTGAATAAAATGCTAAGAACACTCTTCGATAATCCAAAGTTGGATTCCATCCCCAGCAAAGGTTTTGAAAATAGCCGCTAAATTGATCCAAATGATAGCATCCAGTTCACTGATAGAGTGAAGAGAGAGCTAAAAGGAATTTCACATTTAATTTTTAACATAAAAATTGTACTTCAGCTAAGGTTCCCTTTGAGAAAGGAACAAGAAGAAATAAGAACTTTTCAGTGGGTAGAGGCCTAAGAAGCAAAAAATGAAGTAGAATAATAAGACTCTGCAGTGCTGACCTGCATAGTGTGCTACATGTTTGCCTTCCTGTTTGGAAACAATTTGACATACATTTGAAGCAAATACAAGCTTTTGGAAAAAGTCTAGGAACTGGAGGAGAGAATAGTTGGTCTTCAGCAGCTGGTGACAAAAGTAAAGGTATACAGTATCCCTTCAAATTAAAGGAGTTCTACAACCTGCTAGTGAAAGCGGCCTACTTTAAGGATGATAGAATAATCAGCTGTGAAGGGTGAGAATAATAACCAAAAGCAAGAGATACAGCAACACTCTGTACTGGAAGTTTGAAACAGCTTTTAGGCCCCTATAGATGAAGCATATAGAGGAAAAAGAGGAGACATCACAGAACAGGAGTTAATGTGCTGGATCCCTCAAAGACAGAAGATGCAACTACTGTATGCCTTCTAAGAAGAAAAAAAAGGGCATTTTGTGAAGTAGTTTACGAATCAATACTACAGAGAACTGAAATAATTGTACACCAAATGGACCTACAAAACCACTGTCAACTCAGGAAGTGTGCTGTCAGCCAGGGTCAAGGATCAAAGACTTGACAGACCAATTTTGGCATTTTATCAAAACCACCAACAACTTCTTCCCAGTAATACATGTTGGGACAAATGATACTGTGAAGAACAGCTCCA